GTTAGAAATCAAAAGTTGATTATTTTATAAGCTAAATATTAGGCTTTCTCCATGGTACAAAGAATACAAGGTATGATATTGCGCAGGTTGGTTGCTACGTCACAGGTGATAACAGGCGCTATTGGTCAGCACGCCTCGCGCGCCAGTTCAAATCGTCAAGATATTGTTATAAACCTGTTTTTTTGTTTATATACCGTCATTGAATTATCGCTAAACAAGTTACTGTGGAGCAGTTCATAAGGAGTCGGGCTAGGAAGCGAGAGACCGGAGTTCGAATCTCGGCCGGGACATAACTTTTATTTATTTTTTAAATACTGTTGTATTCTATAGTTTATTTTTGTAGTAAAAAAACTATTTATTTCTGTGATTTTTTCTCCGGTATTAATATAAATTGATTGTTGGTACAATACCTAATTTAATATAAAATAATATTCTACTTTTGAAATGTATCGGGCCCTAATTGTACCTTAAAAGTAAAATATATTTTTACTGATATACCATATTGTAAACTATTTAATATTTCAGTCACTTAAAAGTTAATTTGCATTGAATAATTGCCTCACCATTAAAGGAAATTTGAGCTATATAATCCTTGATGGGCATCTTCCTCAAATTTTGTTCACCGATTTATTCTGATTTATGACAACAGTAGTCCAGGTCACTAATTATATTAAATTACACTTGGAATTACTCACACTAATTATAATATTTTCATTGGAATTACTTCTATCACAATTAATCAATCACATTTCACATCTGCATTGGCATTTTCTACTGTTCAATGGGGAAACATAAACTTTTCCAACATTTTTTAAATCTTTTGGTTACTTTTCCATAGATATCCTCATCTCTGTCTCATGTGAATTCAGAGGTAACGAACATGAAAATTATTTACCATAAACATCGCAAACCAAAAACCTAATAAACAATTTTTAAAAACCTAAATAAACAATATAGAAATAAATTTAGTATTCCTACCTATTATCGTCCAAATCCATGTTAACAGATAATTATTATTTTTAAACATATTTGAACTGCTGGTTTTAGTAATTATTATTAAACGAACTAAAAAGTCTTAAAATGAACAATTCTTAACCATAACCCAAAAATACAGATCTCCTGTCAACTCTCTTTATTTTTTTCATTTATTTTCCTAGTGACGTCACAGGTGGTATGCGCGAACTGAACGAAATTGGAGCCGCTATCGATCATACCTTGTATTCTTTGTACCACGGGCTTTCTCCATGGTACAAAGAATACAAGGTATGATCGATAGCGGCTCCAATTTCGTTCAGTTCGCGCATACCACCTGTGACGTCACTAGGAAAATAATGAATAAATAAAAAATAAAGGAAGTTGACAGGAGATCTGCATTTTTGGGGTTATGGTTAAGAATTGTTTATTTTTAAGACTTTTTAGTTCGTTTAATTTAATAATTACTAAAACCAGCAGTTCCAAAAATATATTTAAAAATAATAATTATCTATTAACATGGATTTGGACGATAGGTAAGAATACTGAATTTATTTCTATATTCGGTATAAAATTGTTTATTAGGTTTTTAGTTTGCGATGTTTATGGTAAATAATTTTCATTTTCATTGCCTCTGAATTCACATGAGGACAGAGTTGAGGATATCTATGGAAAAGTAACCACAAGAGGAATTGTTACATCATTTAAAAAATATTGGGAAGTTTATTGTTTCCCATCGAAAAGTAGAAAATGCCAATGCAGATGAACGTATTGTAATTGTGATAGAAGTAATTCTAAGGGTGAAGTTTATTATAATTAGTGGAAGTAATACCAAGGGTGAAGTTTATTATAATTAGTGACCTCTGCTTCTTTTTATATGTAGAAGTTTCTGGTTTTGAGAATAAATCGGTTGAACGACACCCAAAATTTAAAGGAAGTATTTGCATACCCAGAATATGCCCATCAAGGATTATATAGCTCAAATTTCCTTTAATGGTAGGCAATTATTCAATGCAAATTAACTTTTTAAGTGACTAAAATATTAAATAGTTTACAATATGGTATATCACTAAAAATATATTACTTTTAGGTACAATTAGGGCCCGATACATTTCAAAAAGTAGAATATTATTTTATATTAAATGAGGTATTGTACTAACAATCAATTTATATTAATAACGGAGATTAAAAATAACAGAATAAATAGTTCTTTTTATACTACAAAATAAACTATAGAATACAAGAGTATTTAAAAAATAAATAAAAAGTGATGTTCCGGCCGAGATTCGAACTCCGGTCTCTCGCTTCCTAGCCCGACTCCTTATGCACTGCTCCACAGTAACTTGCTTAGCGATAATTCAATGACGGTATATAAACAAAAAAAACAGGTTTATAACAATATCTTGACGATTTGAACTGGCGCGCGGAGCGTGCTGACCAATAGCGCCTGTTATCACCTGTGACGTAGCGACCAACCTGCGCAATATCATACCTTGTATTCTTTGTACCATGGGCTTTCTCTATGGATCCATAGCCAACCAAGCTGTTGCTAGTATATTATATTAATTTTAATTGTATTTTTTTTACAAATTGGGGGTGGTTGTGAATGATCGTAAACTCTTAACTATAAATTATAATTGAAACCACTCTGAATGAGGTTTGAAAGTCAATTTTTAACTAAATAAATTACATATAGAGGTCGATCAGACAGAAGTTATGACAATTGTTATTTCAAAGGCTACTGTGACGAATGAAAGGGTATGTTTTGATTTAGTGGCGTTTTTATTTATTTTAAAATCACTTGTAACGAACGAACCTGTTTTAAAATTGTTTTCGACAGAACATTATTTATTATATGTTAGAAAATAAAGCAGAATTAACCAATAACTGTCAAGAAGTAATTATAATAATTAATTTAATCCTGCAATTTAAGTACTTAATTCAAGTATGCTGATTTATAAAATGAAAGTATGTTAATAATTACAAATAATGATAAACTAATTATTTGTCTTTATTTAAAAAATAAATCTGAAACTGTTTTTCATTGATAAAGTGATTTAATAATTTTAATAATCAAGTACACTACAGTATTTTTTGATTTTTTTAATGTTGTTTAAGAGAATAATTTTGTTACTAAAGTGTATAAATGTAAGGTGATGTTTGGTTGAGTTTATCACTACAATAATTTTATTATTTTTTTATTATTTAGGACCATTATCAGCTAAATGTTCTAGGTTAACGTAAATCTCTTGGGTAAATGTTGTATGTACTCATTTTTTTGGTAGCATAATCTACAGGGTGTAAACTAATAGATCCGAAAAAAATCAGTAGATTATTGTTTTTTTTAATAATTGGGTTCTTCTCGTACCTTTTTGTTAATTTGACTTTTCCCTACAAGGTAACTTTGGTTATATAGGGTGAATACACATTATTTTACAATATTGTAGGCTTTTTTTTCAAAAATATTTCTACAAGGAAATTGAACTTTGGTGTATGAATGACACTAATCATATCCGGATTTTATGTAGAATTATTACTTGGGCATGTCAGATAGAGATTCTATCAACAGTTACTACTTAATATTCAACCGTTACTTCGTATTCAATATCTTGCTATATTTTTATATTCTCTGAATATGACACTTAAATTCACAAACCCTTTATCTCTAGGTGCACATTTTTTCTACCTATAGTTTTTTTTCATATTGATCCACCACTTCAAAAAAAAATGAGTGTAAAGAAGTATAAAAGACATTTTCTGACGATTTTTAGTGAGTGACATATTTCACAAAGTTAAAAAAATGAGATTTTAATTTTCTTTCCTCCACTAAAAATCGGCTTTTCGTTTAAGAATCATGATCATATTATTTTTATTTTTTCATGTCTTAGACTTCTAAGAATTAGAAAAAAAATCATCATTAATTAATTTTGAATTTTACTATAAAAATAAAAATAAAATTGAAAAAACTGTTTTTTTTTTAAATCTCGAAAACCGTTTGAGTTAAGGATCTAAAAATTTAGGTGAATTATTTTGATTCGACACGAAATCGATCCCCTGAGTACGAGTCAAAAAAGCCGCGGGGGCAGATTTCCCGTATTTCCGGCTATACCCTTCAGCACATACGCAGAGCTTTAAAAAACCTATTTACCAATTTACTATAAAATTAACAGGGAAGCCAATATTTGGACAGTTCAAAATTTGCATGAGATTCCCTAGGTTTCCAACGACGATGTACCATGTACCACCCGGGATAACATATACAAAAATATTTCAAGTAGTGTCACTGTTTGAACCTTCTGTATATAATATTTCCAAATAATCACACTAGCTAAAAACTTGATTAACGACGTTCACGCGCTAAATGTCAAATTTTCAGTGTCAATAGTTCTTGGGAGAAGTCGATAATTGCCTGATGTTGGTCACCCTGTACGAGCAAATAATTTTGTTGAGAATGACCTAATGGGAAGAACCTCGTTATTTTTGAGAACGAATCTTTCTGAATTTTTCGATATTTTATTTACATTCTGTATACCCCGGGTCCAGACCAAGCAGACAAAACAACGACAAGACAGAAACATTCATGTTTTACGCCAAAATTGCGACAAATCCAAAATACAAAATACAAACATTCAAAATTCGGAGACTTTCCAATGTTCCGTCTCGAGTCGGTAAAGATCAAAGTGTCTATGTTTTGTTCGTATATTTTACGACAAGTTGTCGGCGCAGTGTGGATGGCGTGTGCTGCCAACAGTAGGAGACCAGTGAAATCACACACGGTTACTAAAACTCATTCGCAACAACTAAACTTTGTTGTAATTTTGTCCTTGCGGTGTGGACAATTTGTCTCAAGTTTGTCTTGTCAGAATTCCCCATTTTTTGTCGCAAGTTTGTCTTGTTTATGTCTCAAAATCGTGTTTACTTTTTGTCGCCTTGGTCTGGATCCGGAATAACATCTGACTAAAACATAGACACAAAAATCGAAATGTTCAATATCATCCGATCGACCTGAAACTATTAAAAGTGTTTAGAGCACTGCCGATAGAGCAGCCAGGGCGGTAGGCACCGTCTACAGAATGGTGGCGGGTACCGCAGATGACGTCAGCGCCTCCTCCACGTCATGGAACTTCGCAGTACCTTCGTTGCCCGACGCGACCAAGACCCTCTCCACTGCCTCATCAGATCTTTCGGCCAGAATACTGCCGGCCAAGGTACTGACCACCAAGCCGGGCTGACGGTTCTTGACCATCCCTCAGTTTTTCTATCTGTTTTTTTCTCTATTTTCGCTGTTTTTTGAGTCTCAGTTTCGATAATTGGTTTAATACAATAATGAGGTTTAGTTCCTAAATTTCAATTCACATTGAAATGTATAAAAATAAACTCACCGGCAAAAAAATCAGGCCACTAAAAACTAGACACAATTTCAAAGTTGGATTTCTCGCGAACCACTCATCAGATTTTGATGATTTTTTTTTAATTGTAAATTAATTCCTTTTTAAAGGATGCTACGTCAGAAATGTTTATTCCCAATTTATTTTGAGTATATACAGGGCACAACAATAAAACGAAGTTTTTGCCCGAACTTTGTAACATCCTGTAGGGTGCAGCTGAGAGCAGCGGTAGTAGCTATTGCTAAATTAAATCACATTGTAGCCTCACCTTTTGTGAGAATTTTGTTTTTTTAATCACTCCATTATTTTTTTTGTATTGGAGTTATGCTGTTTTAAAACGAACGTCTCGGAAAAATGCTTCGCAGGCAGAAAGCTTTATGTATAAATAATCAAGGCGACATAGGCGAAAACGGATTTACGAGTATTTGCAATATGACAAAAACGGTTGTCAAATTAAAAAATGTCATCTGTAACGGATGTTGCTCGTATTGTGGCTTTAATTGAGGATGGCCGAAGTCAACGTTATGTCTCCCATACCTACCCTGGGTATATTTCGAACAACAGTCCAGGAATCGGTATATGGAAACGGGAAATTCCACTAGATATTAGTCCCTTAAAATTACTTTACCTTTTTTTTTTAATTTTTATGTTTTAATTAGTTTTCTGGTTAAAATTACCTACGTTCTGATGTTCGATTTGTTTTTAAAGCTTTTTTCGAGGCCTTTGTTTTAAAGCAGCGTGTCTCCAATACAAACAGAGATAATGTCGTGATTAAAAAAACAAAATGCTCACAAAAGATGAGGCTACAATGTGATTTGATTTAGCAATAGCTACTACAGCTGCTGCACTCTACAGGGTGTTACAAAATTTCGGCAAAAAACTTCGTCTTATTGTTGTGCCCTGTATATGCTCAAAATAAATTCGGAATAAAAATTACTGACGTAGCATCCGTTAAGAAGGAATTAATTTACAATTAAAAAAAATCATCAAAATCTAATGAGTGATTCGCGAGAAATCCAACTTTGAAATTAGGACCAGCTTTTAGTGGCCTTTTTTTTGCCGGTGAGTGTACATAATGAACACGCCAAATCAATTAGGGCATAACGTGCAAAATTTACATAAAATTTCCAATTAATTTCCAAAGAATTGGAACTTGAATTATCACGAATACATCAAACATTGCCATTTTTAAATGGTTCATTCTTATTTTTTATGCCGTATCCACGGTGTTCCTTATTATTAAATATTCTTGCCACAATGTTATGACATTCTTATGACATGCCAATAATTAAGGAGGTGATTCTTGGGCCTATTCTAAGAAAAAAACTTCATATGAATATTGATGCATAGGAGACGTGTATTAAATTTCATAAAGAGGACCATGAGTCACACCTTTAAATATCAGCATGTCATTAAGGAACACCCTGTACAGGGCTATAAAGGAATTTGAAGATATTTGTAGTTATTGATGATTGATCTGTTTAATGAGCCATTAATATTGAAAACATTTTTTTTTATTCACTTTGATACCTGATTTATTAGGGAAAATATACAGGGATTTTAAAGAAAATATAGATATTGGCAAATTTAATCTAATTTGAACTGAATTATTGAGTTTGTAGCATTACCGACGTTTTAAATACAGAGTACTAAGGATACAGAGTACTAAATAATAACTTTTGCTCTTCACATCAGAGAAAACATTTTTTTATTAGGTGGTGTTGTATCGAAAACATATGCCAGGTACTTGGAACTACGAACTCTCAAGAACAGGCAAATTGCTCGAAGAAATCCCAATGTTTCTCATCCAGAGCTACAAAGACAACTTCTGGCAGCTATAGGTGTGAACGTTTCAGTTGAAACCCTAAGAAAAAGGCTTCGTGCTCGAGGGTTGTACAGGTTGAGTCAAGGATAGAGTAAAGTCCATTATCTCATTTGTTTCAAGGTTTACAAAAAAATGTTTAATATAAAAGTTATAGGGATGATTAAGATACACATTTTATAATTATTATAGAGTATACAAGGTGCGATATGTTAAGTGTGGCGGCTATAACATATGTTTTTTAAATGCAACACCCTATTTTTTATTTTATTTTTAGATTCTGCGTAAAATTCATCGAGGCGAATAGTCACAGATTAGCGTAATACTAGATTACCTAATTGCTAAAGACTACTGATATAGGAATTTTCTTCGACATACATAAAGTTTTTTCTCGTAGTAATTCTGATTTATAAATTTGGTAAAGCCAAATTACTACTGCCGCGAAACCGTCCCATTACACACTGAAGATGTTTTCTAGATAATATACATCTATTCTTATAGTAGTTAGCAAAGTACTATATAATATATAGTACTGAACTAAAAAATGTGGTTTTCTAGGCTTGTCCGTGTATATCAGTCACATTGACTAATTCATTTGAAGAAAATCTGTAACTATTATCTCTACCATTTATACTTATTACAACAAATTAAACTAAAATTCAAATTTTGTTCTTAACTTGCTTAACGGACATGAAATTGTGATAATTATTACTTTTTGTCATGGCAACTATGATGCTATAGCGCATAATAAAAATAGGTATATGACATACTTAATAAAAGTTGAAGAGTTTTGTAAAATCTATCAGAAAAAATGATAATATATAGGGTGTACCATTTAAAAAAATTGAAATTTCTTAATTTTAATTAGTTGAAATTCATAAATATATTTTGAACACCCTGTAGCATTTAACTAAAATATCTTAACATATACCTTCTTTTTAATCTCTATAGAACTATCATACCAAGTTTTGGTATTCCAACTTCAGAAACAATGGTACTACTGGCAATTTTTTACCACACTGCAATTTAACATTTGTTTAAACAAATTTAAAAATTTCAAAAACTGTTAATTTTAGGTTTATAACATTATATATGAAAAAGTTATAAAATTTTACGCAGAATCTAAAAATAAAATAAAAAATCCTGCGTTTAAAAAAACATATGTTATATCCGCCACATTTTTTTGAAGCACCCTGTATACTCTATAATCATTTTAAAATGTGTATCTTAACCTTCCCTATAACTTTTATATTAAACATTTTTTTGTAAACCTCGAAACAAATGAGATAATGGACTTTACTCTATCGTTGACTCACCCTGTACAGTAGGAGAAAGTTATGGGTCTTACAGTTATCTCGACAAAAAAATTGACCGGCTAAATTGGTGCCTTCGGCATCAAAACTGGACAATTGAGGAATAACAAAACGTTCTTTTTCGGATAAGACCAGAATTGGCTTAAGATCAGATGACCATCAAATTCGGGTTCTCAGAGCTCCAGAAAGACGAGCGAGACTCCAGGCTGCCAAATTTGTACCAAGATATAAAGGAGGAACTGTGATGTTCTGGGGAAGTATTATGCTGGGAGCAAAAACTCCATTGTTACCACTTCAACAAACTTTAACGGGTCAGAGGTATGTTTATTTAGTGCTAGAACTAATCGTTAGGTACGATAATGCACCTCCCGATACCAGCAGAATGGCTAGAGAAACTTGGGACTGTCTTGCATATTTACCAGATCTAAGCCCTATCGAACACTTGTGGGGCCAACTCAAAGGAAGGGTTAGAGCTCGTCGGAACAATCCAGGAAATCTCACACAGCTTCTTGATGCAGCATTAGCAGAATGGGAAAACATACACCAAGACGTTTCAGAAACCAAAAAAATACCGTTGTGTTTATTTTGAAAAGTGATTTTTTTTTTCATTGATAGCAATGATACCAACAATATTTTGACAGACAAAACAGTGACAGTTGCGTCTGTCATTTTAATTCACAGGCAAATAGTAATTTCTGTCATTTTTTGGATGTTGTCTGTCGAAATCTTCCCTGAACCGAAATTACTATTTGCCTGTGAATTAAAATGACAGACGCAACTGTCACTGTTTTGTCTGTCAAAATATTGTTGGTAAAATAATAAATGTAAATTATTAGAACATAGAAATTAGAACATATTTTCTTTGAAATCCTATATGTTCTTTAATCATTGAGATATATATCAGAGTGAATCAAAAATCAAAATGTTTAGAATAAAATTGGCTACACTTTGAGATCATAAGATTTTTTCAATTGTGAGTATCTCACTCCATAGAGTGTTTCAAAGAACACTAGCAAATGGAAGGTTCGAAGAGAAATTAAATTCTGATCTTAGTGTAAATTTTGCTCGTTCTTATAGTTGTGCCGGTGTGTATAATATAAATATTTTTCAATAATTAAATCAATTGAACAAATTTCAAGGCTCTAAAAAACAGATTCTGTTCTTTGTTCTGGTTTGGATATGGAGTATTGGAAGGTTTGCATCTCCTGTTGTATATACCTGTCTCATTTTTCTGCTGTAGCTAAAACAAGAGGATTGTTTTTGTATAATTCAACACTAATATTATAGTCATTTCTGTCTATAAAAAATTAATAAAATAAACATTTATATCAAAGTCTCTTTTATTCATTGGAAAATATATATTATTTCCTACCCAAATTTCCTTTTAATATACTTTAAATGGTATTTTAAATTGACAAAAGTTTGTCCAACGAGTCGGGGGAAGTTTTAGACAGACGATATCCAAAAAATGACAGAAAATATAATTTATACCTACAAAGTTACTAACTTTTATAGTAATATATTATCCACTCGTTAGTCATACTTTACATACATTATTTGTACTGACTTTGTGACTATGACTTTGACATTGACATTACAGTTTTCTGTTTTAGCTAAGCTTTGGTGCTTACATTGTCTTTTTTCAGTTAGAGAATTTTTGAGTTCTGCATTAAAAATACAGTATGACTCAAACTTGGCACTTTGGAATTATTTCAGAGAAAACTAGCAAATAAACATGCAAATTCTGGTGATGGTATCCAAAAACTTATGTTCTATTCTGCAACCATATAATATTTTTTGAACTTTGAAGATTTAATTGTCTTAATCAATACTCTCGCCTTCATTTTTGGATCCCATCGACCAACTTTCATTGATATTTTCTATTTTCCTTGTATTAGCCTTGTACTTTCCTTGTATTAGCCCAAAGTTCGAAGTTTGAATCACCCTATATACAATTCAAAACGTTTTTCTTTTTAAGAAACTCCAATATACCAAGTGTTTGATTATTTATTAGCCTTAAAACTTTTAATTGTTTTAATAAATTTGTTTCTATGTTGTTTTATTAAGTGTTGTAACTCAAAATTTCTCTTTTTAGATTATTTGTGTGATTATATAAATACCTTTGCATGAACATTTTCTGTATATAGCTCCCTATATATAACAAAAACAGCAACAATAATTCTTGCATTTAATTTATTGTTGTATGGTATCGTAGCACTTTATAGAATGATATTATTTTATATTATACAAAAGAAAATTTTATTATTTCATAATACTAGCCATCTGGCCTATTTGGAAATTAATTGAATAATACTTTCTCATAATTTTCATTATTTTACCATTATCTTCGACTTCATTCTTTGTAATGGCTTCCTGCTAATAAACACTTAATTTTGAATGACTTCTAACTGACTGATTGGACGACAAAAATAACTTTACAACAAACTACAATTAAAAAAATGGAAAACAAACATTTTGAAGAAATTTTGACGGGTTTCGCCATATTATGGCTGGATGCAAAGAAGAAATGTTAATAATTCTTATATAATTTTAGATATTATGAGTTCTTCAAAGTAGTCACTTTCACTTTATGAATTTTAAATTTTCTTGATCATTACCAATGTGAAAAATTTTACTGGTTTTTTGGATTTTGAGGTCACTAAACAAATAATATTACATTTTTAAAAGTCTTAGCCTAAACATATTTAAATTAATGTAAAATATTAACTTTAGATTAAAAACCTAATTATTAGCATTAGTTTAAATAAATATATTGATGACGATGACGTTGTCATTAACCTAATAGCAAATTGATGGCGATTTAATTTGCTTAAATATTTTTGATTTTATTCACTAAATTTTGTATGAAAGTAGGTTTTAACGAAAATCATTAATTAGTATTTTTTTCGAAAATAAAGGTAGTATCATACAATTTTCGGAATTGTCATAATTTTTAAAATATAATTTCGTTTAAAATATCTTAAAGCGATTACTTAAGTAAATAAGATACTACTGCGATTGAACCAGAAAGACTGTAAAAAAGTTGGTTGTGTAGCGTGCGGTAGATCTCGTTCAAAAATCGAGGGAAATAATAGAATAACTTTTCGCTAGTAAGTGACTATACATATAATATACAATAGAAAATCGATCATTTATGAAATTCACTTAAAATTAACTAATTATACATTTTTTCTTGCATTTTTGCTTTTATTTACTGTTTACTACTTGTCAAAGATTTGATGTCAAAGAATATAAATACGTCAATTTGACTTACCTGCTTCAGTAGCGTATCAGATGTTTGTGTTAATAAATAATTATTATAACTTATCTATTTTCATTAGAATTATATATTTTTATAACAATTTTAATAACTACCAACATTTTTATTGACAACGTAAAATAAAACAACAAATTATTTAGTCTACTCTACATCATATTTTTACAAGTTTTGAATAAAATTAGCACGGCACTGATAAAGCGGAATTTAAGTCGGCCATTTTAGGACCCTGTTGCGTTCGATCTAAGATATGCTCCTTCTTTAATCTTTTTATTCAAAGATTTTTAATGATAAAAAATGCCGCCAAAATATAGCAATACAACTAGCGACATCTCTGATTGAATAACCATACTAAAACTCTATTTGGGTCGTGACGTGACAAAGCGTAACGGCGACCGGTAATATTTGTAATTAATAGTTTATTTCCAAGCTTTAAAATACAAATAATTGACGTGAAAGGGAAATTATTAAGCGCTAGTCGCATTTTCGAATGCAAATTGTAACGTAATATTACAGAATGCCGAAAAATCACACTTTATACAGCAAGTGTGTGGGTGAAAAAATGTAATTATTAGTAGTAGCGGGTTTTGTTGAGAATGTACCGATTGAAAACAAGATAAAGTATATTATGCTTGTCGTTTTGTTCGAACATTGTTTAAGATTAATAGCATGGCAATATTTCATTTGTTAAAAGTGGTTTTATTTTTGAAAATAGTACAATATTGTCTTACGTAACAGAAAGAAAAAAATGAGTTTGAATTAATAAAAGAATCTTTAATTTTTACTTTTTAATTTTTAGCATGTTACATAAAATAATACCTATTCTGATTTATTTATTTGGTTTTAAACAAATATTTTCAATTAAAATGAGACTTCGCCTTAATGTCAAGAAATATAATTATTATTTATATATCATCATATATCACAATAATTTCGTATACTATAGTAGATTATTAGAGGATACAGTAGCATACACACTGTATTATTGTTAGCTGGTTGTACAGGGTTAGTCTTAAATAAGAGCAAATATTTTTAGGGGTAGTATATTTTTACTCCAGAAACACGATTATGAGTTTTTTTCGCGAAAAATATTTTCAAAATTTGGATTTTTTTTAGTTTTTAGTTAAAAAACATAATTTGTTGATAATATGGCAACAGAGGTAGTAAATTAAATTTACAAGAAAGAAAATCCAGAAAAGATCCAGTTCTCAACATTAATTTTTTTGGAAATTTTCAAAATAACTCGGTTATTTTGGATTTATTTGAAAAACTTTAAAGAGAAAATACGTTTCTTTTATTGAGATCTACCAGTCCTGAACATATTTGTACTTATTTAAGACTCACCCTGTATAGTTCATATCAAATAAACTTTTAGTCACGTGATTAAGCTTGGCCGGTACAGCGTTGCCCTCTTTTACATATTTTCTTTTAATCTAAATATTTTAGGAAACAAAAGTAAATTAATTCTAAATATATAAACATTTATTATTCACATCAACAAAACTCACCTTCTTAACAGCACTTAAAGGACATAAAAGGCCATTGCTACCTCTTTCCCGTTCAAAATATTCTAATAAAGTTGCGATGAGTTTTTTTACAGCTATTATGCTATATTGTACATTTCGCACCAAAAGAGGTTCTAAAAAGAACAATGTTCGACTGCAAGGTCTGCTAGTAAACATTTTTAAGCTTCAATTATCACAACACAATTACCTAATTTAAACCAAAAACTCGTAATACAAAACTAAAGTGTCAAAACGAATGACAATGTGAAGAAATAAATAAAAAATTTGGCAACTTGACATTTTTTACAGCAGAGCTACCACCTGAATCCCTAGCGGGAAATTCAAAATTCCAGTTAGTCAGCACGGCGCCGAATATTCCATGGTTGGCAACAATGAATTTAAAAATCGCGCCCTCGATTGCGTAACTAAAAGTTTAATTGGTATCAAATATAGGTACATATATTTCTTTTCTTGTTCCTGACTGCTTAGTATAAAATCTTGGACAATTTATGTATATAACTAGTTTGTATGTTTAAGTATCTATTTTACTGTAAAATAGTTATTGATGCACTATGGGCATTATTATGGATATAATGCCAAAATGTATATTAACGCTCATGGTGCATAATATAAAATTTTATTTTTTATGTCATCATTTCTTTTTTTTGCAATGTCGTGCATTGAAGGAAATTTGGAGGGCATTATACATCATAATGCCTTGTAGCATGGATCTGAAATTTGAATCCTAGTAACAATGCTGAGATAATGAGGAAATAAAAAATAGAATCTCAATTTATGCACCGAAGAGTACTAAAATCACCTTGTCTTGTATCTTATTCCTAATTTAAAAGCATGTTAGTAGATTTTTGAACTGCGCTGCATTACAGGAAAGCTTTTTAACATTTTTTTTGTTTTTGTTTAGTTGGTAGCTGGATCAGGAGCGACGGAAGAAACAGACGAACATGACGCCGGAGCTGGCGGTGTTGCCGAATTAGATGTCCAAAAAGATGACCATCATGAGGGAATCCCCGGACCTATCACTAGGTTATTCGTCATCGCCAACAGGGGGTTAGCTAATTTAATCCAAGATCTTATCCTGGTAAGTATTTTTCTTGTTTTGAATTATTTAAATGACATCAAATTGAACAAGCTGTTCCAAAATTAGTTTTTTTCAAACGTCAAAAGTAATAATTTTTGCGACGTGATTACATAAAACAGTATATTGTTTCATTAGGAGTAAAAATGACACTTTTTGTGGCGAGGCTATATGTTTGACATACAGCCGAGGCACAAAGTAATTTTTACTCTGAATAGAAGACGCTATTTTTTTTTCGAACGCCACAAATAATTTTTTAAACAATTTCAAACGTTCCAAATAATATAAAAAGATTTAAAAGTCATACCTTGTATGTAATTATATATCGAGAAACTATGGTTGCGCTCGTTGAATTTGACATTTTATGTGAGTTTAATAATATATTTTCATACTTTTTTGCTTAGGCGTAAAAGTGCTTTACTTTTATGACTAGGCGTTAAAATGACTTTTTTATTTTGTCAATCACGTCGCAAAAATTAATACTTTTGTAACGTTTGAAAAAAAAGTCGTTTTAACGCCTTGACATAAAAATAAAGCACTTTTACGCCTAAGAATATAAGTACGAAAATATATTATTAAACTGACTTAAAGTGCACAAAACATCTCCCTTTAGAACTTCAACTGTCATGTTAAGAAATGAAAGTAAATAATAAAGCGCCTCTCGTGTTTGTTCGCATACTAAAAATTTCAATTAATGCCTGTATATATTTTTAATATATTTTTTAAATTTACATTTTTTTAATTTGTAAAGTAATATATTACATTTAAATGGTATATATTACATAACAATTATGTTAATTACAGGCATTTTTCTAACATTTTTTAAATAAAACGAATTATAAAATTCCAATATATGTATATTTGTCGTAGGTATGAAAAAAAGGAAAATATAAAATGGACAAACGCTTGCTTACATTGCGACAAAATTTCCACTTTTAGTTTTGCAATCCAAACGCAATATTTCTATTTCACAAATAAAAATATTCAACACTAAAATCACTTAAACTCCCGCGGATAACAACTAAAACTGAAAAATATAACAGCACTTTTTGTGTTGGACCTGCATATCAACATTACGCTGTACCATTATGTTTTTATTTTTGACATAATATAAAATAACTAATTATAACTTGTGAATTTTAATATTTGTATTAATTTTAACACATGATTTTAAGTATTTATTTCTGACAATAACTAACTTTTTTTTTATCAAGATGTCATTTTAGACGGCAACTGACATATATGTTATATTTTAATTTTAAATATGTATTTAATATAATACAAATTAATATAATGCAACTCTATACTAAGAAAATATTTATACATTCACAAAATACAATAAGGTCTAATAATATAGTTTGAAAACAATGAAAATTGAATTAAAATTAAAAAAGGTAACCGCGACCCCTTGTTTCAAAATTAGATGATTAAATTAGTGGCGCCTCTAGTGTTTGTTCGGGTGGTTAGTCTTTTACTCCCGTTTATGGCCATTAAAGAAAAAGTTCTAAAGGGGTTGTTTTGTGACAAAGTGTCAAATTCAACAAGCGTAACCATAGTTTCCCAATATATAATTACTTACAAGGTATTGCTTGTATATCATTTGGAACGTTTAAGTGTGTTTAAAAAATATTTCTGACGTTTGAAAAAATATAGCTTTTTCTATTCGGAGTAAAAATGACTTTTGTGCCTCGCCTGTAATGTCAAAAGTACAGCATCGCCATAAAAAGTACCTGTCATTTTTACTCCTAATAAAACAATATTCTATTTTCCACAATTTTCAGTAAAATTATTATTTAACTTATACTTTCATTGTGTGAAATATAATTTTATAACGAGTGATTTACTTTATGTAACAACTACTGAGACATAAAAATCGGGCTTATATTTCAACTACCCTTGTATTAATACACCTGTGTTACAATATTACAATACCAGTCTTATTACAAATTTAAAACAAACAAAAAACAGTTAATGAATGGCTCTGTTACGAAATTGTAGCAAGGCTATCCAGTTTTTGTTGTGTTAGAGCGACAAAGCTAATAATATTTTGTCACATAATTCTATGTAAATAATAATTGTTATTTCCAGTTGAGCATTTTTTCTTATTTTAATGGTTTCACCGATAATGTCTGAAGGTCTCTCGGTTATAGCATTAATTAATTCCTTTCCAAAATGTACAATATGTACTTTTACAACTGTTTGGTTTCCAACAAAAACGGCTTATCATAGAAAAAGTCCTTCGTAGAAGGTCGAATAAGTGAAATGAATGGTGTTGTTTAACTGGAAGATTTTTTTAAAATCATTCACTTATTACTTTACAGTTTGTGAGAACCATTTTAACTCTACATACAATGATGTGTCACTAAAATCATCTAAAAAGAAAATAAAATCTTGAAATCGCAAAATTACTGAAGATTTTTTTTTTGAAACTACAGAAATGTTTAATGCTTTTGTGTTTTTTTAATTAACTTTAAGGGATGATTTCCTTATTAAAAATAAAGGGTACTTTCTTATACTGGGTGTCCCAGAAATAACTGCAAGTATTTTAAGGGGTGGTAGATCTCAATAAAAGAAACATATTTTCTCTTTGTCGTTTTTCAAATAAGTTCAAAATAACGGAGTTATTTTACTTAACTATACAGTTCAATCCCAGAAACATGCCTATGAGGTTTTTCTGCGAAAAAAAAAATTGAAAATTCGAAATTTTTTTAAAAATTTTTTGGAATTTTTTTTAGTTTTTAGTTAAAAAACATAATTTCTTGATAATATGACAACATAGGTATTAGATTAAATTTACAAGAAAGAAAATCCAGAAGGTTCCAGTGGTTCTCATAATTTTAGCAAAAAATCATGTTTTTTTGAAAATTTTTAAAGTAAAATAACTCCGTTATTTTGAACTTATTTGAAAAACGATAAAGAGAAAATATGTTTCTTTTATTGAGATCTACCACTCCTTAAAATGCTTGTACTTATTTCTGGGACACCCTGTATAGTCTCTCTTAGCGCCACATTATGAAGTATTTTCAATTTTAAATATAATACAGGATGTCCTAGAAATCAGTGCAAGTATTTTAAGGGATGGTAGATATGGCCAAAACAAACACCTTTTCTCTTTACCATTTTTAAAGTAAACTAATAATAACCGAGGTATTTAGTTTTGAAAATTTAAAAAAATAAAGGAAGCATTTTGAGGGCCGCCGGCAGCAATGGACAATCAGACGCAAGATAATCTCACACTCTTGTTTTTGTGAATAAACACCAAAAAATAACTGATATTGTCATTTGAACAATAAAAGCATCTTTACAGGCTTGCCTTACATTTGCATATTTTTTTATTTTTGTCAGAGGTTTACTGTTTTAATTAAAATCTCAAATGAATTGGATATAACCTAAAAATTCAATCAGCTGACCTGTCTAAATGTACTAAACACTAAACAGCAAAAAATATTTAAAATAGAGTAGACCATTGCACTATGCTCAATAGTAATCTACAATGATTAAAAAATCTACAGTGTACAAAATTAATTAAGTTTATTTTTGTGGAAATGAGAACTTATAAACATACAGAATGTGAATAATGTAGGAAGTGGCAACATTGCATTCTCCCGAAGTACTATAAACAAATTTCCGGAAACTGAACAAGGGGCACTCAAAAGTTTTTCTATATTTTCCGGAAAATGTTAAAAAAATATAAATTTTTCAACAATTTTTTTCGAAACGCGTGTTTCCATACTACCAGTTAAAATCCTTACGCTAATTTCTCGGACATCCTGCATATAAGTACCATTTGTTTTTAACGAGAAATCAACCCTTAACATTTTTCGTACTTGCTTTGGAACACCCTGTACAAATACTTCTATTTATTTCTTTAACGTTACTCATACTTATTTATCTTTTTTTTCAGCGTCTGGCCCAAACCAGCGAAAGATTGGTCAACTTCAAAGCACGTCTTATCACCGCTCTTATTTAAACCAGTTGCCATCCACCCATTTATATTCCCCATCGTCGATTCCCTTATTCCCATTGTCCTGTTATTCCCAAAGAGCCCAGTTACGTTTTAAATTTATTTATGGAAGTGTTACTTTAGAGAGAGTTTAAAAACTATTTTGTACATAGACGATTTGCTATTTTCAAAAAGTGTTTGCGTAACTAACATCCCTTTATTTCTTGCCCCTGTTTTTGCCATTGATTTCTTCATTTTCTTCTTTCTTATTTTTTCCTTCTTTAATTAGGTAAATTAATTACTATTTTAGCTTGAATTGTGACAATGAATATTCGATCGTGTAAATAAGTAAACCTGAATAATTGCTCACAAAAGATGAACAAAACAAAATTTCTTTGTATATAGAAGATGACTTTTTTATTTTTTTCTTTCTGCGAAATTATTTTTATTTCTTCATCATTCTTTCCTTTGTAACTTTATCGTGTGTACATAGAGATTACATTTTTTTTTGTATAAGGAAAGTCAAATTGTAACTTATATGTTGTTAAAGATATGAACGTAGACTAGTTTAGGATAGTGATCTTTTTATAATTTAATAATAAAATAAAAATTAAAATTGACACAATTTGTTTTATTGTACCCAGTTAATACATTGTATTTACTAAGAGTGGGTCCCAGGTGGGGCCTCCACAGCTGCCGGGAGTGCCTAACACATAATTTTAGTATTTTGGATACCCTTTTTTTGTATAGGGTATATAGGGTGGCGACAATTTCGATGCTCAACATTGGCATCTCAGAAACTTCGAGAGATACGAATTCGGTTAAATAGGATAAAAGTTGCGTAATTAGATGTTTGACAAAAACCTATGAAGAAAACCCCGGTATCTTGATTAGTTAAGGATTTATGTAAAAAAAATGAAAATAATACGTTTATATTAAATGACAATATCTTCAGAACTATTGTATCTATTGCAACGTTAAGTTGGTAGTTTTATATTTTTGACCTCGGCCAATTAAATGCCGTTTTCAGAAAATTTCTAAGCCTTCTAGATTTCGCATAACAACAGTCAAGTTTTTGTTTTCTTATGGTCGCCATTTTGAATTTTTATACTATTGTTACGGATTCCGTGGGTCCACTATTTAAACTCACGATAAAATACTTAACGAATTTATTTGTTTCACTCTGTACACACAACTTATACTATTTACAACACAACTTATGCAACTACTATTACTCTAACGGTATTTCGCGGTATTTTCAAACTTCAGACTTCAGACTATCTTCAGACTTTAGACTTCAAACTTCAAACTTGTCCAACTGTCGTAAGCGCTCCTTTTATATAGCTGTGGTGAGTGTTTCGCGAACAATCCAAAATTATCGGGACGGGTCCGCCATCTACTAGTCCATTCTATTGTCTGCTTCGCTTACTTGTCGACTTGATTAAGAGATGGCGCTACAACAAAATAATGTCTTCAGGTTTCTTGACACGTTGCGGTTTTAGTTGCTCGCTTCTCCGACAGATGGCGCCACATACACCTTGACATTGCCCCCTTCTCAAATTTGATCGTCCCGATCAAGGTTTCCTGTCTGGTACCTCTTCAATCGATTCAGATGAACTACTTTCATCTTACTTCTAGGGCTGCGTTGAATCCGGTACACAACATCATTTATCCTCTTGATGACTGTATAAGGACCTTCCCATGCTGGAGTTAACTTTGGGGACCTCCCTTTCTTGCGCTGTGGGTTATATAACCATACCATATCGTCCTGTTGAAATCCCGTAGAATTAGCTCTGAGGTCGTAACGAGCTTTCATCCGGTCACTGGCTAGCGTAATCTTACTTCTCACGGCCTTATGAATTCCCAATAACCTTTCCTTCAGTTCATCCGCGTAGTCCTCTACGTTCGTGGTGCTGTCGTCTGGTGATCCGAACACCAAGTCACAAGGCAACCGTAATTCTCGACCAAATAAAATCTTCGATGGTGAAAGTCCGGTGGTGTTGTGAACTGCACTTCTATATGCCATTAGGAATAGTGGTATATGCTGATCCCAATCTCTTTGATGTTCATCCACCATTTTCGAGAGATGTTCTTCAATGGTCTTATTGAATCTCTCGACCATCCCATCAGACTGCGGATGTAAAGCTGTTGTCCTAGTCTTGTGAATACCAAGCAGATCACACATCTTCTGGAACAGTCTTGACTCGAAGTTCCTTCCTTGGTCAGTGTGAAGCTCTAAAGGAATTCCAAATCTACTGAAGACATTATTGACTAATACTTCAGCTACAGTCGATGCTTCTTGGTTTGGAATGGCAAAAACTTCTGGCCATTTACTGAAATAATCCATCGCCACTAAAACGTACTTGTTGCCCTTGTGCGTTTCAGGGAATGGGCCTGCAATGTCAACAGCGATTCTTTCGAATGGCAGTCCAACGTTATATTGTTTCATTTTTCCCCTAGATCGAGTGCTTGGTCCTTGGCTGGCTGCACAAATTTTACATTGTCGACACCATTTCTTGACATCTTCGCAATAATCCACCCAGTAAAAGCGATCTCTCAGCTTGCTCAAGGTCTTGTTTACCCCAAGATGGGCTCCAGTTTTACCACCGTGAATTTCTTCCAATACCTGGGTAACTTTCTTCCTTGGTACCAGTAACTGAGTTGTTACTGTGCTGCCATCCGCACTTTCCCATGTGCGCTTTAACAATCCATTCTCAATAACCAGTGAATTCCACTGAGCCCAGAGAGCTTTGAAAACGAGCCCTCTGTCCGCAATATCCTGCCACGGTGGTCTCTCGCCGTTACCTTCCTTGAGCCGTAGTATTGCTCCGATGTCTGGATCTTCCATTTGATCTTTCCTCAATTGTGTCGTCGTCCACTGTTCATCGGTTCCAAGTTTAAAACTCCTTATCATGACAGTGCCTTCACGTTGTTCCGTTTTACAGCAGTGCTTACAATCGGTTTGACAGGGTCTTCTGGATAAACCGTCTGCGTTACCATGCATTTTTCCAGCACGATGTTGGATGGTAAAGTGATACTGTTGGAGCTTCTCGAGCCATCGTGCTATTTGACCTTCAGGTTGTTTCATCTCCATAAGCCACTTGAGAGCCGCATGATCTGTCCTAATTAAAAATTCTTGGCCGTACAGATATTTATGAAAATGATCAACTGCCTTCACAATTGCTAGCAGCTCCTTCCGGGTAACGCAGTAATTCCTTTCTGGTTTGGATAGAACTCGACTGTAATATTCTATCACTCGTTCTTCGCCATCTTGCACTTGTGATAGCACTGCACCTATGCCGATATTGCTGGCGTCGGTATCCAGGATATACCTCCCTTGTTGTTGCGGGTAGGCTAGAATAGGACTTGAACATAAAGCCGCCTTAAGTCTTCCAAAGGCTACATCACAATCGGTGTTCCATTCGTAGCCGACTTCATCACCTGTAAGTCTATGTAAGGGTGCAGCTATATTGGCAAATCCCTTGACAAATCTTCTGTAATAGGTGCATAAACCCAGAAAACTTCTAAGTTCATGTTTGTCGCGAGTTTAGGCCAATCCTTGATTGCAGCGATTTTCCTCTGATCGGTGTAAATTCCGTCTGCCGAAACTACATGACCCAAGAATTCCACTTGTCGCTGGAATAAGCTACACTTCTTCGGGTTCAAGTACAGGTGCGCATTCCTTATGCGGCCGAAGACTTCTTCTAAATTTCGCAAATGCTCCTCAAAAGTTCTTCCCATAACCAATACATCTTCGAGTTAAACCAAGCACGTTTTCCAAGTTAATCCTCTTAACACCACCTCCATGAGACGTTCGAAAGTGGCTGGAGCATTGCATAATCCAAACGGCATGACCTTGAATTGATATAGTCCGTTTCCTGTAGAAAAGGCCGTCTTTTCTTTGTCTTCCTCGTCTAGACCAACTTGCCAGTATCCACTCCAGAACCAGCACGAACCTGCCAGAGTTGTTAATGTGTCATCTATATGTGGCAGTGGGTAGCTATCTTTCTTAGTGACGTCATTGAGCTTCCGATAGTCCACGCAGAATCGTGTACTACCATCTTTCTTCGTCACCAAAACAACAGGAGATGACCATGGACTCGATGATTCTTCGATAACTCCATCTTCTAGCATCTTATCTACCATTGTCTCCATTTCTTGTTGTTTGGAAAGGGGCACCCTTCTAGGACGTTGTCGAATCGGCTGAGCATGACCAGTATTAATCCGGTGCTTCACAAAATCCGTTCTTCCACTGTTGTTCTTCTCAAAAATACTGCCATGCTTTAGCAGGAACTGCTTAGCCTTCTGTTTCTCCTCAGATGTTAGGTGATCCCATGGCTGCTCTAGATGTTTTAGTGTTTCTTTGGATGCCATTTGTGCAACAGCTGACGGCACTTCATCACATCGGGTGACACTTCTTACAGGTTCGCAGATGGCTATCTTGTCACCTTTTTGAATCTTGACACAATTCGGGAAAACATTCGCAATTCTGATCGGTATATTCTTGTCAGTGTTCACCAATGACTTTCCTACTAAGTACCTATCTTGTTTGTTGTCGCTACTTTGTACCAGTCCAACACAGTACCCAGCGATTTTCTCCACTTTACCGAATATGATCTTCTCGAGATTACCAGGTATCACCACAGTTTCCGCTGATCTTACATCCATTCTTCCTGGTCCCTCGTCTGGAGATAACATAAACTCTTCATTTCCGATATTCAGGATATTTCTCTGGTGATCGAACGAAAATCCATGTTGACGAATCACATCCATGCCCAAGATGAAATCATCTTCAATATCTGCCACTAAAACGCTATGCTGGAATTTCAAATTTCCTAACTTCAGTTCGACGATAGCCTCTCCCCGTACAACGGCCATTTCCCCGTAACTGTACGTAAACACACTCTTCTTCTCAGAGGCATCAGCTTCAATCCTTGCACTGAGTTAGCCCGCACCAACGATACCATAGCGCCAATGTCCACTGTCATTCGGATTCCCTTTCCATTGACTTTCCCGTCGATCACCAAGCTGTCAGCGGTTCTTCCTAAACTCCTAATGGAAAAAATCCTGGGGGCTCTGTTCTCCCCAGTCAATACTTGCCCCTTAGTATTGACTGTATTGACTGATTTTATTTTTCCTGGTGCCTACGTTCTCTGGATGGTGAACGGGATCGCATTTGAACGCGGCAATCCCGTTTGATGTGGCCATTCCTGCCACATCTATAGCACCTTATGTCCTGTGATCTTCTCTGGTTCTCTGTCTGGTTATTGTTGACTCCCTTGTGTATTAGTAGCTCACATAGTTTGTCGAATTTTCTACACATCTCCTCCAAACTTCTGTGGGTACTCTCGGGCTGTTCCTCTACCGTTACCGATCTTATCTTCGGTCTAGGAATGGCGCTAAAAGCAGCTTCGATTTCCAGCGCCCTGACCAGTGCTTCGCTGCTGGTAGAAAATTGGGATATTTGCAGCGCCCTCTGTAATTCGTTGTCCCTCAGTCCGCTGATAAAGCACTGAGCAGCGAGTTCCTCCCTAAATCCTTCCGGTGCTTCAGGATACGCTAGGTGTACCAGCCGACGTAAGTCTGCTTTAAATTCCTGCAGACTCTCTCCGGACCTCTGCAGGCGTGTCTTGATCTGGGCCTGGTAAAGTTGGCGTCGATGTTGGTCGCCATATCTCCTGTCCAATGCAGCAACTAATGTTTCGTATTCCTGCTGTTGGGCTGCAGGAATAGTTTGTAGCAATTCCAGGGCAGGGCCACACAGCGCGATGACGAGTGCCGCTGCTTTCTCCTGGTCAGTCCATCCGTTGGCAGCAGCAGCTGCTTCAAACTGGCGGTGGTACATTGTCCAAGTAGTCTGTCCATCATAGGTCGGGGCCTTGACGTTCGCAGTTCCAGAGACGCCAGGTGTCCTTGCTTGTACCTTGGTCTTCTGTATGTCCATCTCTAATTTTTCCATTTTCTGCTGAAGGCGTTCCTCCAGATCTTCTACGACTTCTTGGAAATGGTTCTCCTGTCGTTTTTCCAGGTCTTCAAAATTCTTCTGTAGTCGAAATTCCTGATTTTCTAAAGTTTTTTTAAGACGGTCCTGATCTTCTTGTCTTTCTTTTTGGCGGCGCGTTTCTATATCTTCTAAAATTTCCCTCCATTCATTCTTCTGACGACTTTCTAAATTGCCTAAAATGTTCTCAAGCCGGTCCTGTTCTTCTTCTTTGTCTTGTTGTCGTTGAATTTTCATATCTTCTAAAATTTTCTCAAGCCGGTCCTGTTCGTCTTCTTTGTCTTGTTGTCGTTGAATTTTCAAATCTTCGAAAATTTTGTCTTGATTTTCCAGAATTTTCAGTAGGCGGTCTTGTTCTTCTGCTTTCTCTTTTCGCAGCTTCTCTTGTTCTTCTGCCTTTTCTCTTCTCATATTCTCCATAAAATCGCCTAATAGTTTGCTTACTTCCTCCATTTTCTTCGCTTGTTCCCTTGTACCAACCATAAAAATACTCTAATCCGGTCCAAAAATCTTCCAATCCACTTAATTTCTTCTTAAAATCCTCTTGAATCGCACTTCCGACACCAATTGTTACGAATTCCGTGGGTCTACTATTTAAACTCACGATAAAATACTTAACGAATTTATTTGTTTCACTCTGTACACACAACTTATACCATATGATCGAGAAAAAACGGCGTCAACGATGGCTATGAAATGAAGATCGCTGTCATTTTATATGTAAATTTATATGGGAAATGTCATCGATCGTCATTTCCCAGCCAACTGGACGCCGTTTTTTTTCGATCATACGGTACTATTTACAACACAACTTATGCAACTACTATTACTCTAACGGTATTTCGCGGTATTTTCAAACTTCAGACTTCAGACTATCTTCAGACTTTAGACTTCAAACTTCAAACTTGTCCAACTGTCGTAAGCGCTCCTTTTATATAGCTGTGGTGAGTGTTTCGCGAACAATCCAAAATTATCGGGACGGGTCCGCCATCTACTAGTACATTCTATTGTCTGCTTCGCTTACTTGTCGACTTGATTAAGAGACGGCGCTACAACAAAATAATGTCTTCAGGTTTCTTGACACGTTGCGGTTTTAGTTGCTCGCTTCTCCGACAGATGGCGCCACATACACCTTGACACTATTATATAGAGCAAAAAATAATCTATACGGTGGTATCTAATTTTTATTCATTATTATGTAAATTCATTAAAAAATAAGATTTTTAAAAAATTCGCTAAAGGTCAAGCCTGCCTTGGAATTGGAGATTCCTTTGGAGATCAATTGACACTTTATATGACAGCAAGTTAATTTTTGTTTACTCTATTAAGTGTCAAATCTGGACACAAAAAATGATAGTAAATAGTGTAAAATGTATTAATAGTCAACAATGTGTTCACAAGTGGGGATGCACGAGATATGTATGATGTTTACTTAAAAATAAAGAAATTCCGATATAGCATGCGCAAGTTATAGAATATTGTATCCTGAAAGGACGCAGCCTCATCGTTCTATTTTCGCAAGGATTTCAAGAAATTTAGCAGTTGCTGGTAGCTTTAAGAAACAAGAGGTTTTAAAAAGGCTTAATGATTTTAATGTGTCAGCTCAGATTGAAATAAATCTGGAAACTTCTAGTAGTAAAGTAAAATAACTCGCGAGTGTTTTATATGTGATTCTTATGTAGGGAAAATTATCAAAAAAAACATAAATATCACAATTTTAAATTTAAATGTATACCAAATTTACATTTTTTTCTACATGCTGTTGATCACAAGAGAAGATTCCAATTTTGTAAATGGTTTGGGGAAAGTGTTCAAGAGCCCCCTTTTTTTAGAAAAATATTATAGACGGATGAAAAAATTCTGGTACATTTAACAGAAAAAATTCACACTATTATGCAAAAGAAAATCCTCATTTAATTAGAGAAACCAGACCACTGTAATATATTCTTTGAACGTCTGGGCTGGCATTTTTGACAATAAAATTTTAGGTTCTGTATTGGTCTGTATTGAATTCTACAATTTTTGTGTGTCCAGATTTGACACTTAATAGAATAAGCAAAAAATAACTTGCTGACATATAAAGTATCAATTGGATTTCCATGGCAGACTTCATCTTCGGCGAATTTTGAAAAAATCTATTTTTTAGTGAATTTACATAATAATGAATAAAAACTAGATGCAACCGTATAGACTTTTTTTCGCTCTATCAAACAGTATAAAAATTCAAAATGGCGGCCATAAGAAAACAAAAACTTGATTGTTGTTGTGCGAAATCTAGGAGGCTTAAGAATTTTCTGAAAACGGCATCTAATTGGCCGATGTCAAAAATATAAAACTACCAACTTACGTTGCAATAGATTCAATAATAGTTCTGAAGATATTGTCATTTAAAATAAACGTATTATTTTCATTTTTTTTACATAAATCCGAAACTAATCAAGATACCGAGGTTTTCTTCATAGGTGTTTGTCAAACTTCTTATTACGCAACTTCTGTCCCATTTAACCGAATTCGTATTTCTCGTAGTTTCTGAGATGCAAATGTTGAGCATCGAAATTGTCACCACCCTGTATTCTTTGGCGATAATGCTAGTTAGTAACATTAATGATTGCTTAAAAAGGCAAACAAAACAAAAATTCTTTTTTTGTATAAAATTACCCTTTTTCTATTTTTTCTTCTAAAAAGATATTTTTGCGTCTTTCCTGTAACTTGATAATCTCCACTATACACTACAATAGCCTGCAGTAGGTCAAAGTCAAATACTGAAGAGGGTGATTTCGTATTTCCTTCTTTAATGAAAATAAGTCTCTCCACCTTGACCTACTTGATATAAATGTAGACTAGGTACTATACTAGTATAGGATGGGGGAGAACCTCTTACAATTTAATATTAAAATAAAAATTAGGATAAAAGTAGTTTATTTTATTGAATCAAGTTAATACAACCGTTGGCAAATTTTCATAATCACCAAAATTAGTGAAAACATAGTTCCAGTATTTTGGATTTCCCCGTTCATCTATGGGCAGGTTTCCAGGAGGTAATGCAGTGGAGTTGTATTCTTTAAGCCTCGCTTGTAACTTTACTAAGATATCAGGAAATCTGAAATAAAACATTCTTTTAGAGCAATTTATATTTTAACTAGTATTAGAAAAAATACTAGTTTCGTGCGTATGGTGACAAGAAATACCACTATGCTATTAAAAATTAAACTTTTAGTTACGTAATCGAGGGCGCGATTTTTAAATTTGTTGTCAACTATTGACATATTTGGCCCCTGGCTGACTAACCGGAATTTAAATTTCCCGCTGGGGATTTAGGTGGTAGCCCTGCTGTAAAAAATGTCAAGTTGCCACATTTATTTATTTATTTCCTGACATTGTCATTCGTTTTGACACTTTAGTTTTATATTACGAGATTTTGGCTTAAATGACCTTTAAGCTTATGTTAGACAGCTGTAAGACAGCTGCCTTCTATCTATACTTACGTATGACTTAGAGACTATGGCAATTTCGGACGGATGGAACCAGGCCGATGAAAGAAGAAGAAGAAGAAGAAGAAGAAGAAGAAGAAGAAGAAGAAAAAGAAGAAATAAAAACTTATTAACAGATCTTGCAGTCGAACATTGTTCTTTTTAGAATCTCTTTAGATAGCTTAGTAGCAAATGCAAAAACTCATCGCAACCTTATTTGAATATTTTAAACAGGAATGCCGTAATAATAGCCCTTAATGTTCCTTAAGTGCTGTTAAGGAGGTGAGTTTTGTTAATATAAATAATAACTATATAAAATCAAATATGTATAAAAGTGGGCAACGCTATGATGCCGGTCAAGCTTAATCACCTGACTAAAAGTTAATTGGTATGAACTATATTTTAATAATTTTACTTACTCATTGGCCAGATTCTGATATTCACAAGGATCCTCTTCCAAGTTAAACAAACATGGCTGTTTTGCTGGAGAACATACATTTTTCTTAGAATTACCACACACTATTGTAGCTTTATTCCTCAATGTTTTAATCGTCTCGTCTGATATGTCCATGTTTATGCTCTTCAAGGCTTTACCAGCCAGACTATTTTGGACCATGCTGGTATTATAGCTGTAATTCCGACCAGATGGACCATACCAGTTGTCCCAAACACCATCGTAAGTAGCACCTTAGAGTGAAGTAAGAGTTGTTGTACGATGAAAATTTTATTTGATCGTTAATACATTTAAATCTTTTTATTACCTTGAATCAGTTTCCAGTTTGAAGAAGTCAATGCGGCGTTTCCATAAATATCGTCAATATTATGTAAAACTTCAGTTCTGGGAGATGGTTCGTCATGAGACAGAGATTTCCAAATACTTATACCATCTAAGTTTTCCAATTCTTCAGAGCTATAAACCCGTTAAAACTATTATATTTAATTTAAAATTTCAACTTAAATTCAATTTTACAAACTGTTTTCGCTGGCTGCTCCTAGTAGAGTTGGCAACCAATCAACAATATGCATGAACTGAGTTGATACTCTGGAAGGTTTCTTGATTAGAGGACTCCAGACTAACCCTGCACCTCTTACTCCACCTAATTAACACTTGAGTCTCAAAAAGAATTGTTTATTGTACTGTTTACCTTCCCACAATGTGTTTTTGACTCCTTTCAAAGGATAATTTGAGGCAGCATTCAAATTAAACCCAGCAGCAGGTCCACCATTATCAGTAGTAAAAACCACAATACTATTCTGAAGCATATCGTTAGCTTTTAAGGCATTAATAATCACACCAACCGACTCATCTAGCTTACTCATCATAGCTAAAAATCTCCAAAATTAGAATATTAGCTAGTTCAATAATAAAATATCTTTTACCTGCAAATCTTCTCCTTTTATAATCATCTATGTTTTCAATTTTCATCACTTCATCATCATGAACTGGAAGAGGATTGTACGGATTGCCGGAATGGACAGCCGCGTGAGCTAGATAGAGAAACAGAGGGTCTTTGGGGTTGTGTTTTTTGATTAGATATACAGACTCTTGAGTAAAGAGGTCTGTGGAATATTTGCCATGGAAATCGTAAGCTACAGACATGTTTGCTCTCATATCCAGACCCCAAGCGCCCTGTTCCATGGCTGTGTGGTCGAAGTAGTCTTGATGGCCGGTCCAGTAACCTATAAACATTTTTTTAGTTTTAGCAAAACCTGCGTCCAGAGGATAACTTATTTTTTTATTTTGGTGTATCGTGTTTAAATTGGGCAAGTGTGCCATGAAAAACCTACCTAGATGTGAATGGAATCCACGATACAATGGAGTATACTCTTTCTTCCATGACCCAAGATGCCATTTACCAACTATCCTGTTTACGTATCCGAGTTCTTCGAGATATTGAGGCAAAATCTTTTCGGATAATGGAAGTCCTCTTGGTTCAGCTCCAAACAAAACAGTATGCTGCATACCTGATACATGAAAGTAAGCTTCATTCAGAACCTCGAAATCAGTGGAATAAATTAGTACCTAGTTTCAATTAGCCGTAGAAGCTTGTTCACCTAATTTTAATGTAAGCACTCAGAACGTCATAATTAGTGGTAGTAATTTACAATTAGTGGAAAAAGTTAACAAACTTTTGACTTTTCCACTAATTATACTTCAAAATTTGCGAGGAATGTCATTTTGGCCTTTGATTATTACTCGTCAAGAAAAATTTTGGTTAGAAATCAAAAGTTTATTGTTTTATAAGCTAAATATTATGCTTTCTCTATGGATACAACAGACTACCGCAAGCTGTTGCTAGGATATTTTGTGAATGATCGTAAACTAAAAAGTATAAAGTGTAATTGAAACCACTAATATTATTATTCCACTAATTGGGAGGTTCTGAATGATTGATGTTCTGGTTCTCAAATGCGAATATGTGCTGTTGATATTCACGAATGCGTATGAGAATATTAATTTGCTGTTAAGCTTCATGCAGAACTATATATTCCTAACCAAATCAAAGGCCAAAATGAAATTTCTCGCAAACTTTGAAGTATAGTGAATGGAAAAGTGAAAAGTTTGATTACTATTTCTACTAATTGACAATGTCTACCACTAATTTTGACGTTCTGAATGCTTACATTTACATTGAAATCAAAGGAATAAACTTCTACGCTAATTGAAACCACTAATTTATTCCACTAATTGCGAGGTTCTGAATGAAACTTCACTCAGAAGCTTAAAGCTTCATTCAGAACCTCGCAATTAGTAGAATAAATTAGTGGTTTCAATTACACTTTATACTTTTTAGTTTACTATCATTCACAGTGTTTAAAAAAGACAATTAAAATTAATAGAATATCCTAGCAACAGCTTGCGGTAGTCAGTTGTATCCACAGAGAAAGCCAAATATTTAGCTTATAAAATAATAAAATTTTGATTTCTAACCACAATTTCTCTTGATGAATGATATAATCAAAGGTTAAAATGACATTCCCTGCAAATTTTGAAGCATAGTGGAAAAGTCAAAAGTTTGTTAACTTTTTCTACTAATTGAAAATGACCACCATTAATTTAGACGTTCTCAATGTTTACATTGAAATTAATAAAACCACTAAACAATTAAACCACTAATTTCTTCCACTAATTGCGAGGTTCTGAATGAAGCTTTTGACTTAATACTTTATTTTAATTTTAAATTTTGTTAGAATACTAAAGTAAATTTCTTACCTGTGTGAATAGGGTACTTTCCTGTCATCAGGGCACTTCGTGAAGGTGTACAGATAGGGTTGACATAATAATTGTTTAATATCAAGCCCGAATATGCCAAAGCGTCTATGTTGGGTGTTGGGATTTGTCCGGATCCATGAAATCCAACATCATTGAAGCCCTAAATAAAAAACAGGCCAATCTGTTTAGAGATCAGTCCAACAAAGGGCATCGTACGTTGTCATTTGAAAGGCTACTGTGATGCCGTTTTTTAAGTATGATAAATTTAATTTTATTTTATAATAATAATTTATTTTCATTTTTGAAGTGAAACTTCTACAGGGTTGTTCACCACATACGATACGGAGTATTGTAGCTAAACGATGAGATTTTTACAAATTGTAAGTTTGGGGTTCGTTGAAGGACTATTAGAGCTACAATTTAAAAATATTTTTACAAGATACAGAGTGTCCCAAATAAATAAAAAATATCAAAGTTGTATTTTTTTAAATGGAACACCCTGTATATTATTACATTTTTAGTTTCTACGATTAAAATAAAGGTAAATTTGATTAAGGTTTATTATACTTAAACCTTACCGTTTTTGAAATCTTTTCAATTTTGTGAAATTGCAGTAAAATTTTTAAAGCTTCATTTCTCCAGTAAAATTCTAGGGCTAGTAATATTATCGTTTTGCTAAAAACGATAATATTACTAGTCTGTACATTTTGTACATTTGTTGCTTTAAAAACAATAGTCCATGGGTATATTGATAAATAAGTTCTAAATTACAAGAAAATGCATTTTCTACGGAAACTTAAAGAGATAGGTAAAAAATGGTATAATATAATTTGATAGACAATTAAATTGTGCATCTGATTCTCGTAAAATATACAGGGTGTTCCATTTAAATTAAACAAGTTATTGCCGTTTGAAGCTAATAATTATTTTTTAAATCAATTTTTAGACACTCTGTATAAGGTAGTATTATTTTTATTATTGCAACACAATAAATGATCAGTAAATAAACTTCAGTAAATATTTAGTATTAAAAACTTTGATACCCTTGGAGAAATGAAGCCTTAAAATTTTTACTGCAATTTCACAAATTTGAAAATATTTCAAAAACGGTAAGGTTTAAGTATAATAAACCTTAATCAAATTTACCTTTATTTTAATCGTAGAAACTAAAAATGTAATAATATATAGGGTATTCCATTTAAAAAAATAAAACTTTGATATTTTTTACTTATTTGGGACACTCTGTATTTTGTAAAATTATTTTTAAATTGTACCTCTAATAGTCCTTCATCGAACCCAAAACTTACAATTTGTAAAAATCTCATCGTTTAGCTACAATACTCCGTGTCGTATGTGGTGAACAACCCTGTATACATGCGCTGGGAGTAAAAATTCAGAGCCGTGACACACGAGTTAGCGAGACGAAAAGTGGTAAAGACACGCGCTGGGAGTAAAAATTAAAGGCCGTATAAAACTATTTGTTACATGTGTAACAAATAGTGTTTTACGCATAAAATTATTTTTTTACATGTAACAAAAAATAGTTTTTTACGTGTAACAAATAGTTAATTTTTAAATTTTAAAAAATACTTGTTTTTTAAAACTATTTATTACACAGAAAAACTATTTTTACGCGTAAACAAATATACAGGGTAGCGCACCTCATTCCCCTTGGTTGATTATACAAAAACGGAAAGATGCAGAAACAAAATATTTTATGGGTATATATGGGGAGGTAATGTGCACACTTTAAAATTATTTTGAAATGTACAGGGTGTTTCAGAACTAAGATCCATACCAAAGTTATATTTTTTCTTATGGAACACCCGGTATATAATTTCATTTTTGGATTCTTGGGCCCAAAAAAATGTTGTAAGGGTTAAATATGTTTAAAATCTTTGGTTTTTGAGATATCCAAATATATTTAAATTTGCATGCTGCAATAGAATAGATTATTAACACCCTGTACATTAATTTTCAGAATTAGTCCTTGTGCTGAGTTTAAAGGTAGAGAAAGAAACTTTACAGAAAAATGTTATTCCTTCCTTAAATGTATACAGGGGTATCAAAAATTGCTGGTCTATTTTAAATATTTATTTTACATAAAAACATCGTTATTTCAAATACAACACTATGTATTTTTTTAAATAAGTCGAAGCAGATTTAAATATTCTTTCAAACTATATTAGGGTTTCCTATACCTATCTGGCTCAGATTTTGAATAAAAAGCGGTTTTTTCAGTAAAATTGTAATCAAGATGGCTAGTGTTGTCATGGCAAGTTTCTAGTGACAGTTAGTAGCTATTTTCAAAATCGAAATTAGTTTATGAACTTATTTAAATTTATACCAGTTTACTTTTATTTGATTTACCTACAATAGTTTAATAAATAATATTATTTATTAAATATGTGTTTATTATTCTATCAAGAAAAACGAAGAAGTAGTCTTTGAATTATTTTACGGTAACTTGTAGATACATGGATTTTCTATGAAAGAGCTAATTACGGTAAATTAATTTTCTTCACTTCCAACGACAGGTTTCTGCCTAATAGGTTTTTTATAAATCACACTACCAGGCGAAATAGAACAAGAAGTATTTCAAAGAAACTCTTATTAGGAAGATTCCTATCTGGATATCTTTGAGTATAAGCCCTTGAGTCCAAGAAGCAATTTTCCTCACAAAATAATATCACTAGTAACATATCTTTATCTAATTCGTTCCGCCAGCAGATACTGCTTTATTTTTCTTGATAAGATAATGAATACTCTTATTTATTAAACTATTGTAGGTAAATTTAAGTAAACTGTTATAAATTGTAAATAATAATGTCCATAAACTAATGTCGACTTTGAAAATAGTTACTAACTATCACTAGAAAATTGCCATGGTGCTACCAGCCATCTTGATTAGAATTTTATTTAAAAATCGCTTTTTATTCAAAATCTGAGCTAGATAGGTATAGGAAACCCTAATATAGTTTGAAAGAGCATTCGAAGCTGCTTCGATTTATTTAAAAAAATACAGGGTGTTTATATTTGAAATAACAACAGTTTTTATATAAAATATATCCTTAAAATAGATCAGCAACTTTTGATAGCCCTGTATAAATTTAAGAAACCAATACCATTTTTCAGTAAAGTTTATTTCTCTACCTTTAAACTCAGCATAAGAATTAATTCTGAAAAGTAATGTACAGGGTGTTAATTGTCTATTCTATTGTAGCATGCAAATTTAAATATCTTTAACTATCTCAAAAACTAAAGATTTTAAACATATTTAGCCCTTATAGTAAATGCCTTTTTTGGGCCAAAGAATCCAAAAATGAAATAAAATACCGGGTGTTCCATAAGAAAACATATAACTTTGGTATGGATCTTAGTTCTGAAACACCCTGTATATTTCAAAATAATTTTAAATTGTACTCATTGTCTCCCCACAAATACTCCTAAAATATTTTGTTTCTACATCTTTCCGTTTACGTATAATCAACCGAGGCGACTGAGGTGCGCTACCCTGTATATTTAATTTATTATTTTTTCAACATGTCAAACTACACTTTTTTAAACATGTCCTTCAAATCCTTCAATTTAATAGCTGTTAGTAAGAAGTTTCACTTCAAATATGCGCACATAGTGTACACACATTTTTTTAATATTGTTTATACTGGTTTAATGTTTAAAATATTAAACTATTTAATGACCAATAACACAAAGATGTTTCGCATAACTGACTAAATATAATTTGCTTACCAAATCATCGGCAACAATAAAGATGATATGCGGCGGATTGCATTGAACAGTTGTGACACCGTACAAAAATACAATTGAGAATATAAAGAATAAGGCCATTGCAATTGTTACATCGACTGTAACGCACTGAATTCACCCAATATTGTTTTATATTGTAATTATTTAATTTAAAATTATTTACGGCACCAACAGCATTGAATTTGTCGCAGTACGCGTTTACATCGATGCCGAAAGATCTAAAAGAACACTAAATAACTGTTACTGTAATTACACTAGCACAGAAATCATTTAAAATTACCGATATATAAATATTTGAGCCGTTTAATGATAATTACTATTGATAATTTTGCACATGTTTGAGACGTACTCACTTGGTGCGTGTATGGTCGACTGGTTAAATGTGAAAATGCATTTTTTAACGAGAGGTGACAACGTTTTTTTTTCATCTGGGACATGGAGAGAAATCTTTTTCTTATTAATTAATTATTGTATATTTATTATTTTCCATAGTCGGTTGGTTTTTAATGAGTATGCGATAAGTCAGTGTGAAAGTTATCATTTTTGGTGGACTTTCTTCCAAAAATAGCAATTATACATTACTAATATTACGATTTGTTTAAAATTAACTATTGATATTGGGATACTTTAAGAATTTAAAAAAGAACAAATAATCAAAATGTCTTTGTTTAATATTTGTTTAGATAATAGTATACTTAGTAATCGTGTAGCTGTAAAATTTAACGATACCGGGTGTGTCTCAGAAGTTGGTTTTTGGTCACTTCCTGTTTCACCGGAACTTACTACAACGTTTGATTTTTAAATTTATTATTTAATTTAAAATACACCCTCGGTATTTTTTTAGTTTATTCGATAGAAAATGACGCTCTGAATAGAATGTCATATCATATGTCAACTTTTGACATTTTCGCATATGATTTTCGCTAAAATGGTTTATTTGAATAACATGCGGTTGATGATGACAAGTTGACTCGAAATACCAAGTGTGTGGTACCAAATTATTCGTAAAAAAAATTATTGATAAAAAAATTATGAGAATGAAGCGAAAATGTCAAAAGTTGATATATAATACAGGGTGCGTCTCAAAAGTGGCTCACCCAACCAACTTTTTTATTTTTTCAGATAAATAAACGAGATTTGGTATGTTAGTAATGTTATTAATTAGGACTAATTGGCGTATTCAATTGTTTTTGGTTACTTCCGGTTTCACCGGAAACGACTACAACTTTTGATTTTTAAATGGCACCCTCGGTATTTTTTCACTTTATTTAATAGAAAATGACATTCTGAATAGAATGACATATCATATGTCAACTTTTGACATTCTCGCTTAATAAAAAATTGTATTTTAAAATTCAATCTAGGGTGCCATGGCTATGTTAAAAACACTAATTCTTCATCAAGGAGCCTTGGAAAAATAGATTCGATCGTCTAATGATTTTAGTGTCTCGTCCTGGCCAGTTAGAAAATGCTCTAATCGTATTTTTAATCATATCTCATTTTTTCAAATGGAACGAGGGTGGCTCATTAGCATATTTGGAAAAAGCATTTTTTACGAATAATTTGATACCACACATTTGGTATTTCAAGTCAAATTTTCGTTACGAACCGCAAGTTTTAATTTCAAGTAAACCATATGCAAAAATGTCAAAAGTTGACATATGATATGTCATTCTATTCAGAGTGACATTTTCTATCGAATAAAGTAAAAAAATACCGGGGGTGCCATTTAAAAATCAAAAGTTGTAGTCATTTCCGGTGAAACCGGAAGTGACCGAAAACAATTGAATACGTCAACCAATCCTAATTTATGTCATATACTAACATACCAAATCTCGTTTTTTAACTAAAAAAATAAAAAAGTCATAGGGGTGAGCCACTTTTGAGACGCACCCGGTATATCATTCTATTCAGAGTGTCATTTTCTATCAAATAAGAGAAATTTATAAATCAAAGGTTGTAGTCATTTCTGGTGAAACAGGGAGTGAGCAAAAACAATTGAATACGCCAATCAATTCTAATTTATGTCATGTACTAATATACCAAATCTCATTTTTTTAGTGGAAAAAATAAAAGTTATAGGATTGAGCCACTTTTGAGACGCACTCGGTATACAGGATGTCCTAATCTTCCGTGGACAGAACTACTGCGTATTTTTGGAATCAAAATACGTTCATTGGGAAATTTACCTCTATATAAAAGTGCTTTGTTTGTCCATTAGAGGGCATCAAACTTAAATAAACACTTTAATAAACACATTTTTTACTAGTGAAAAATTGTTCCACTATTTTTGATGTTTTTAGTGTGGGGGCATATTTCATTAGTATATTTAAATAAATGCCGTTATTGTCAAAAAATGTTACAATTTGTAGACAAAGATAAAGTAAACAAACAAACAAACAAAAGAGAATACAAAACATTATACAAATAATTATACAAAACATTATACAAATATTTATGAAGGCTAAAATTCTGCATAGTCTCACTATAATTCAAAATCTGAATATTCTAGATTTTTACACGCTTCATAAAAAAAAATAAACAAGAAATACTATAAATACAATTTAGTGTTTGCAAGCTGGATATTGTCATATCAAAGAAAAACTCTAAATTTTTAGAAAGGTAAGTAACAAAACATTGCTATTTAGTAAACGATTATTTATTACTGAATTAAACAAAATATATTTACATATAAAAACAATATACACAATGAAATATATACATAGATAAAGTATTTTCATGAATATTTTCACAATTTAATGGTCTATCATCTCGATCTTGATTGTGTCTTTTTATAACCCAATTCTTCAGGGCTAACAAATAAACCCTCAATAATAGAATTGCACGATTATTTAGTATGATTTAGCATTCTTCATTCTTTTTTTTATTAATTTTAAAAATAATTAATCAACTTATAGAAACGTATTGCTTTTAGTATTAGTCATAATAATATTACAATTTTTTTCCTTTTCTGAAAAAATATCACTATAACCATATTTGGCTTTATTTTTTTATTTTAAAAAAAGTCGCTTTGCCTAACCACTTATCGTTTTTCTTATTATTATACAAAATAAGCAAAATATAAATTGATCAGATCCATTTTTATATCATTACAACAGCAGTACTTCAGTACCTAACTATAAACTAGAGAGCTTTGACAGATTTATGCCATTTGTCGAAATGAAAGATTTTATACAAAAGAACATTAACGAGAGAAAAAGAAAATTTATAAATATAATAGTTATTTTTTATACAAGACCATAATGCAATTTTATCGTCGTGTATAAAACAATATTTTTCCATAGCTAGTTACGTTTTAAAAAATATTCAGAAATTATTATTTCAAGGAATTTATTACGAGTAGAAAAAATATTGTGCTGGGTTGGCGTTGGTTTCTATGTAATTTGACAAATAAATAAAGCTGTCTCTAGTTGTTAGTTTTGAGTCAATATTTTTTAATTCTCTTTCGTGTCGATTGCTGATTGAATTGGAGCCAGAAATGGCTCAAAACGAAATAAGTAAATTACCAACAGATATTCAGGCTGAGGCGACAAACGCCATACCCAAACTACTTCCATTTAAATCCCGAATAACTTATGAAAAGGTATACAAAAACTTTCAAAAATGGAATCAATTAAAAACCGTGCGAGAAGAAATAAAGTTTTTAACCTCCCCGCTGTTAAAGTATCATTTAATCTACCCTTGCGGTTAAAGTACTATTTTATCTACTATTTTTGATAGATATAAGGCAATTGTAACAGTTGCTATGAAAAAAAATATATTTTTTATAAAAAATATTCACTCAAAACTGACAACTAAAGAGACAGCTTTATTTATTTGTCAAATTACATAAAAACCAACGCCAACCCAGTATAATATTTTTTCTACTCGTAATAAATTCCTTGAAATAATAATTTCTGAATATTTTGTAAAACGTAACTCGCTCTGGAAAAAAATATTGTTTTATACATCCCGAATCTTTTCGGTCGACGATAAAATACCATTTTATCGTCTTGTATAAAAAATAACTAAAACCACATCTTAAATTTATTTAAAGTGTTATAAAAATATTTTTTATAACACTTTAAATAAAAATAATTTCTTCTTGAATTAAAGTGACAAAGAGTTTTAATAAATCTTTCATTTGACGATTGAAAATTTTTTTTAGACTAGACACTGTTTTCCCATTGATTTCAAGTATCTAAAAAAGTTCACAAGTAAAAAAAAACAATTTCAGTGAACATTTTAAGAAACAAAGGAGTCACATTATTGCTTAACATTTTTTCTTCGTGTTTCTATGAAAACGGTTGGCCCTAATACGTACCGGCTATCTACAAGATGTAAAAAACTTTAGAAGAAAAACCATATGGAGATTCTATACAAGCTATTCTAATGATACATGTATCATAATTTTTTGACAGTCGGTTTTAGACTATTGAGTAAAAAGTAATAGAGGTAGGACACGTTAAAACAAGTCATCTCTATAGTGTTTTTACTCGATGTTTGAGATTCTACAAGTGGAGACATAAGCATCGTTACATTTTATATAAAAAGTATTATATACAACTAAGTCTACTTGATTGGAATAGTCAATGAGGCAAAAATTGCGCTTATAACGATGGATAGTTAAGTACGAGTAAAAATATGACTAAAAATATATTATTATAAGAAAAAATATTGTTGGTGGTCTAAATTTTTTTTGTTATAAGCCCAATTTTTCTAAGTTGCTTCATCTACCTTCAGTGTCAAGAATTTTTCATCAGTCAAGTGTCGCATCTTGGTAGAACACATAAGTTAAAACAAGAGTTTTGAGTGAAATATTTTTGACTTTACCAGAAATGATGTATTACTGTTCTTTTAAATTGATTTTCTTGGAAAAATAACCTTTATATCATACAATTTAAGACAAATTTAAATTATTTGACAAGATGCAACACGAAAATTGATCGGAGACCCATCGCAATATTTCTATCCTAACCATATTGATTCTCTAATTATATATTTCCATATAAAAAAGCTCTTTATTATGTACAAGTACGCTTATAATGCCTTAACTAATATTTATATAGTCAGAGAGAATGAACTAGTAATTTTAGCGATTTCATTACTATAGAGCCTACGTAGGCTACCCTGTAGGAAAACAATATGTGATGTTTTTTTCAGTTTTTATTATTATTATTTTTATTCGTGGTAGGCCTTCTTTTGATTGCTTTTTTTACGGAAATTACTGGATATCTCGCTAGGTTTTGGACTGTTTTTTTTAAACTGTAATGCGTAGAGTCCACATAAAATGTGAGTTCTATGAATGTACAGCTATCGTTCAACGTCACGTCATATATTGTCGAACTCTTTCAATCACTTGCCAACCAGATGAAAGAGATTGGTGATGTCATTACGGCATTTCGTAAATTACTGCGTATTTTTTTTAGTAATACCCATTGTCATTTGATTTGGAGTTATAAATTCAACCAATAATATATAGTACGAGAGCTAGCCACGTCGGAAAATTTATTTTAAGACGTCTGGCTCTTTGATATTTCTTTTACTATGCTCTCTAGAACAGCATGCGGCCCGTCTGGCTGCCGGCAAACGTTGCATTCCCTACTGCTCATTGAAAAAGATCCTATATTTTTATTAGTCCTTTAAATTCTAGTATTGAATATAAATCGGACATGTCTCAATAGCGCAGTGCGTAGAGTTTCCGACCACGAACCGATGATTCAGAGTTCGAATCCGGGTCAGGACAAAGACTTTTTTATTTTATTTTCGTTTATATTCTGATAGTAAAGTATTAAATATTTGCTTCTTTTGAATCACCAGATTTATTTAATACTTTACTATCAGAATATAAACGAAAATAAAATAAAAAAGTCTTTGCCCTGATCAGGATTTGAACTCTGAATCATCGGTTCGTGGTTGGAAACTCTACGCACTGCGCTATGGAGGCATGTTCGATTTATATTCAATACTAGAATTTATAGGACTAAATTAATAAAAAAATATAGGATCATCTTCCGAAGCGCAGTAGTGAACGCAACGGGTATCGGCAGCCAGACGGGCCGCATGTTGTTCCAGAGAGCATAGTAAAAGATATATCAAAGAGCCAGACGTCTTAAAATACTTTCTCGAGAACGTTGCTAGCTCTTAGACTAATAGGAACGTGCTTAAAATTTTCTAAACAATATGAACTGATCTCAGACACATTCTAAAATTCATATTTGACAAATAATGATGACGTAACGATGAACGATGACAGAACAGACTTTATCGAACACGTCGCAAAAATGTTCTCGCTTCCTCGATAAATAACAATGTTAAACTTTGCGTCTTTTTTGTGTAAATTTTGCTTTTTTATTCAAGCCATTATCATTTAATCGTGTTATTTTTAACCAGGGTTTCAAAACAATAAAAACACATTTGATATAGACTGTAGACATAACAGAGTATTTCTAGCTGTTCCAATATTCCGTTTTAAAATTTTATTGTGGCCGTGCCCGAACAACGACACACACATCGTGTCTCAAAAAAATAATTTCCTTTCTTATTCTGTCTCTACGCGAACGACTAGGACTTTATACGAACTTATATGGCACATAAAAATATCTCTTTACTGTACTTTTATCACGGAAGATTAAGAATCGTGCCGGTGTACCCGGCTTTTACGCGTCCCACTCTTTCTTCTTTTCCGTTTCGAGTCCCTCTGGAAGGCTACGTTACCCGGATCATCAGCTAGTTGAGGGTACTTGTGAATACTGTGGATGTCTATACCTTCGTATCCATCTACGTCACCGTGTGATACGAGTTCTTCCATTTCTTCTTCGCTCCAATCGCCTCGGCCTTGGAACCCAGCAGCTATCAACTGTTTTTCGATCTCCCAGGCTCTTTCAATTGCTCTTTTGTGTGCGTGTCTCAAAATTTTGTGCGTTTCCTGTTTAGGGTCCGCTCCGTATTTTATTATCACCACTGCATCGGGGTTGTGAAGTCTCAACTCCTTCACTGGCGTAGAAGACCCGTGTTCTGTCACTTCGTGGGTAGAAACGTTGAACATTCCTCCGAGCCTTCGCAATTCCTCCAAGTCGTCGCGAATTTTCAGTACGTTATCCTTGACAAAATAGAAGTAATCTTGGTCATGGATACTAAATTGGAGATCAAGGAAAAAGGAGTTGTTGAAGACGGAAGTGACAACATCTTGAACAACGCCGTTGACGCCATCTACCACGCTGACTAGGGCTCGCGTAGCTACTCTGGATATGAGGACGCCTTCACCAAAAACTGATTTTCGGAAGGCGACCCTGGGCAGGAGGTTCCTGGTTTTGGGTTCTTTCTTGAGAAGAGGTTTCGGCACGAAACTGATGTCCGTGAATTTCTCATTGATCTGGAATAAAAGTAATTTCATTCAAATTTCAAATATTAAGCAACCAGAACAAAACTGTATGTTCTATTATCATTAAATAGTAACTTCGGTAATCGCAAAACAATTTCCGATGTACGTGATCATCTTTGAGTGATAAGCGATGATGGCGTCAGTGCTGCCAGATTGTGATGGATTTATGAGATGAATCTTATGTAAAATTGGGAAACAATATATTTATTATATAATTTTTTAAATATTTTTACGTTATATTTTTAGTTTAATAATTAATATTTTAGAAAATTATTTGATTTATTTGTTGTATAGCTTATTTTACTTATTACATATTGGCAAAAACTAGTCCATCATAAAGATTATTCCAAGCGTTATTATAGGTTATTTATTTATTTATCGATGTACATATTACAGCACCACAAGTAGTAATATCACTAATATCAAGTAAGAGGGTATCATTAATGCGCTAACTAATAATCACAAAATTTACTAAACACTAACGTTTACTAAAAATAACTTTGAAAGTGGTATAATGTGCTTACCAATCAACTTACTTCTCTGACTGGAATCAAGGATAAAAAAAGGACCTTTATTATCAAGTTCTGGTTCAAAATAGTTTATTAGGGAAGCTACAAGCTCTTTGCATTTAACTTCGACTGTTAAATGCGTCGGCATATTTTCAACACACAATTTCAAGAAATGCAATACAAAAACTCGAAAATTTAGTTCTTAATAGAACTGTTTGTGCTTAAAAGTACGATTTTTAAAAAAAGAATATGAAAATACAAAAAATGAGAATTACTCCTAAAGATTCAATATTATTCAACAATACGATATTTTACAAAATAATGACAATGGTGCTGAGCCCGGCGCAATGTGACCGACAGAACGTTAGTAAAATTTGGTTTAAACTAACTTTTGCAGCCTACAACCTGATTTGCTCTATAAAATAAAATGAAGAGCTGCTCGCTATCTTAAATTATACAACAAATTTAAACATTTTTGCAAAAATTTGATTTAGTCACGTTTATAGGCTTTAGTGTCAATTTCGATATGATTGATGACGTGCATCGGAAAATGTTTTGCAACTACCGTATTGTTTTTAACATACCTTATCTACAATACACTTGAGTCCGGACATGATACCAAAATCAGGAGCCAGCTGAGGTGAAGTTACCGTAGCTTGAGGCCTATAAATCATTTTTCCTAAGTATTCAGACCCTAACATCTTTCCAATATCGTATCCATACAACTGCAGCCAACTCTTCAAGTCTGTCATGTAATTCGAACTGAACCTAGCATTAATAGGATCATTATTCAAAAACCTGTAGATAAATATATCCGTTGGTGTCGTCAATTTTGTAGCTAGCTTCTCCCAAGATGGCGTGACCCACTGTCCAACCACCGGGTCATAGAATCTCTTGTTAATGTACACTAGTTTAGTGTTTGGGTCGTATATTCCTCCGTGGAAGTCTACAGGCAGATAGAAGTCTGGATTTGTGTCTAAAATAATGTTTCCGAATGGCGTTCGTCTGATTTCTTTAATAAGGTTTCCGTTGATATCAAACAAAGCCAATGGGGATCCGTTTTGATCAGAGGCAACGTAGAACCGTTGCTCCAAGGTTTCCACAGTGATGAGAACATCACGCGTGTCGTAGAGTAATCTGAATGTTCTACCAGCTTTAGGAAAGTGTAGGTGAGTAATTAAATCTGGAGTGGTAGGGTTTGAATAGAAGTACTGAGTGACATTTCCCTTGTCGTCGTTCGATGCTACCAGTCTGTTTTTGTCGTCATAGAAGTACCAGGCTTGGAATTTCTCTCTTTCAAAGACATGGATTAACTGTCCTTTCGGATTGAAACGGTATTTTTGTTCGCCTCTTCTGACTACAAAGCCACAGTTATCATAGCTGTTAAATTCGACATCTCCATATTGAACTACGCGATCTCCACTATCATAACCCAGAGTGACCTTCTCTTTTTCTTTTATTATAGCTTGGATGTTACCATTTTCATCATAGACGTATTTCCAGTTACTTGTACCAAGGACTTCTAAGACATGGCCATCAGAGTTATAGAGGATCCTGTCCATAAACTGAGTTCTCCTAACTAAAATCTTCTGTTGCTTGATCCTGTTCCTAAAATCGTACTCCAGCTCCAATCTGAACACATCAAATGATTTTATGTTGATCAATATGGATTTTAATCTACCATGATTATCGTAATCTGTGATACTAAAGAATTGTTTACTCGTGTCTTGCATAACAGATCTGTTGAATGTATTTCTGTATATCCTTAAGTCACTGATATTTTCCAGGACTCCCAAATTCTGATTGTACTTCAACCTCAACTGTGGAAGCTCTTTTCCGTTGATATCAACGTCTATGCTGGACAATCTTGCATTTCCATCGTACTGATACTTGTAATGTGCATTATCCAGACCACTTTTGACATTGAACTTTAATTTTTCGTCTTTCAAGACACCTGAGTGATATTTAAATTCCTGTTTCAGCTCGAAGTTTGGTTCTATAATTTCTACGTTCTTTATCAATCCTAGAATATCGTGGTATGTGTAATGTGTTGAGCTCATACCGGCCAAAGTAGTTTCTAGTCTTCCTGAGGAGTCGTAAACGTAAGAAACTCGAGCTGATTGGTGAGGGAAGATCTTGGAAAGAATCTGACCGTCGTCGTTGTACATTATTTCGTAGGGATGTCGGTTCATTGGTGAGAAGTATTGGTATTTGAAGAAACCTAGAGATGTTTGCAGTGAAAAGGTGTGAATATGGCCTCTTGGTGTTGTTAGTGATTGTAAAGCTCCGGAATCGTCATATTGGAGAAGATAGTCTGAGCCTCTGGGTGTTGTTACTTTTAATGGCTAAAAAAGGAATATATAATATTAAAATAATCTCTATCCCTAAATAAAATGTTGAATATACAGGGTGGTCCTAATTGTATTCCGAAAACTTCGGCAGCACGTTCTGCAGGTAAAAATAAGTAAAGAAGTTCGTATAAATGTATGTCCTAAAATGCTTAGTTTTGGAGATACAGGGTGTAGAAGTTTTATTTTTATATCGATTTTTTCCAAATAATGTCTGAACTAATATCGATATTTGGATGAAAATTAGTGTCTAGTGGAGTAGAGTCTCTAGTGTCTTGATTTTGATGTCAATATGGCGTGAAATTATAAATTTGAAATTTTTTTGTACCAAAAGTTTAACAGAAACTATTTTATCATCATTTTTTTGAAGAAAAATTTGTGATTAATTTAAAAAAATAAAAAGTTCATTAATTTATTATTTATTTATTTATTTTCTAATATCTTGAGAACGGTTACTTGTAGCGATTTTTACCAAGAGACGTTTTTCACGTAAAAAACGTCGTAAATGTATATTTTTTCACTCAGTTGTTTTATACAGGTACGGACAAAAATTTAGGAGTCATCTTGACAACAAAATCAAATTTCTCATGACAAAAAACTCCCAGGCACCAATTTTCATCCAAATATTGACGTTACTTCAGAAATTATTTGGAAAAAATCGAAATAAAAATGAAACTTCTACACCCTGTATCTCCGAAACGAGGCATTTTAGAACATACATTTATACGAACTTTTTTACTTATTTTTATCTACAGAATATGCTGGCGCAGTTTCCGGAATACAGTTCGGACCACCCTGTATACATTGTCATGTAATTTATCCCTCTAGAAAGAATACTATCAAATTTAGAATAAAATGGAGAGAATATGCAGTGAGACATGATGTTTGAAAGAATAAATAAGAAAAAACAATATCATTTTGATGAGACAGTTGTTTTTACCACAAAAATGTTTATTTCTTAATTTTACGCCAAAACAAGATAACAGTAATAAATTCTGTGTTAGTTTATTGGTACTTACCAAACTACTGAACATATCCTTAAAAGCATACTGCAGCGAAGATCCATCGGCATACTTTATCTCGTACAAACGACCAGCTCTATCAAATCCATAAGTCTCGCTAAGTTCTCCCCATTTCCAGCTGCTCAACCTACTGAATCTGTCATATTCCAGCTCAACTTCAGCAAAAATACCGTTCTTAGATCCCCACTTTATCGGCCTAGATGACCTGTCATACGTGACGTTAAGCAGTTCAATCTTGTCATCCATAAACACACTGATAGATGCCGTTTCCCTGTCATATTCCATGCTGAGAATATTCTCCCCGTTCACCCGCAATTTCTTGCCAACCTTGGATATTGCCCTAGGAATGTTCTTGTTGCCCTTTGCGTTTTGGTTAGGTCGAACGTAGTACCTCCATTCGAATCTATTAGCTAAATCACCACCAAGCTCAGTGCGTTGTTTGGCAGGAATTGGGTAACTTTCACCCAAAAGAGGTTCTTTATCTGCTAGGACGTTGTATGGAACAGAATCTGTGGTGATACTGTGAGACCAAGGTGTCAAACTTGTCACTCCTCCATCTGGATAGAGTATTATCTTATTCTCAGTGTCGTCAATCCTGGTTGATACTGTGGGACCTTTGATTAACATAGAAATATGCCTGTCATCGTTTTCATTAACTTTTACAGTAGCACCTTTCAGACTTAAATCAAAGGAGAGGTTAATGACCTTTCCTGTTGGCGTGACTGCAGATGTCAGTCTTCCAAATTCGTCGTAATTATACACGTAACTCCTTCCACTGCTGTCAATTTTGGTTTTAAGTAGCCCCGTAGGTCCGTGATAGTCAAAAGTAACATTGTAATTGTCAGGAGTGCTGAGTTCGTGAAGCATTCTCATCCTAGACATGCGCAACCTGCATTTTTGGCCTTTCGTGTTTTCGATTGAGTTCACTTGACTTGAATAATCTCTAAGCAAAAATACCTTGTTCCCAGCCGCATCTGTGACAGTGCTCAGTTTACCGTTGCTAGTGTTAACATTGTACGTAAAAACATAACTTGTTTCTCCGGTGAGTATGTTTTTAGTTGCTATATGCTGACCAAATCTGTTAAAGATGTAAATCTGTTGAGTTTCCGGCGAATATATTTCGTATTCTCTAGAAATGCTCGAGTCGGGAATACTGGCCATCACCGATCTGATTCGGTAGTTTGCTTGGTCACCGATGTGCACGTGTCCATCAGGGCTGACACTGACAGCTGAGATGGTGTTAAATTTCGAACTGCTGGCTAAGTAATGGTCGGCTTCGAAGCAGTCACATCCTCTGTCCAAACAGTTACATTTCGATTCAGCACCGGCATATAAAGAGATTTTTCCATCGGTTCCGATTACTCTAACCCTATTTATTCTTTGCGAATCACTTTCTGCAACGTATAGATCACCGGCAGAACTGAAAGCTATGCTTTGAGGCATAACAAGTGTAGCATGAGTGGCTAGTTCGATATCGTATCCTAACAGAGGTGAAGCACAGTGAAGAGGTCTTCCTGCAATCACTTTGACTCTACCGTCAAGCGTCAATTGAAGTATCATATGATCGTCGATAATATGGAGAGTGTTATCCAGAGGATTTATGGCGAGCTCTGTAGGCCAACGTAAGTGAACCTCCTCGATATTCAAGGTGCCTTCGCAAGGAAGAGGCTTCCAATGAGATTTATGCATGTGATTTCCTATAACTGTTGTTACAATTCCATCTCTATCCACCATTCGAATATTGGTACCATCAGCGAAATACAGTACGTTATCGTTTGATACAGCTACCCCTTTGGGGTAAGCAAGTTTGGCATCTCTGGCAAGAGCACCATCTCCACAATGCGCCTCGTCTCCAGGAAGACATCTTTCTCCAGACCCTACAACCGTTTCCCAGTTGTGATCTGGGTCACTGTAGTCTTCTGTGTTTCGGACTTTAATGATTTGGTGAGATTCTGGATCGGAGATGTATAGAGTTCCGTCCATTGGGCTTAGAGACATATGGTAGCGGTAGGAAACCCTGGTAGCACTGAAAATTGAAGCGTTGTTAGTGTTAAAGTGCTAGCAAGTTAGAATAAATATTTCTTACTTTAATCTTACTACAGTCCTGACAATTCCATCAGTTTGAATCTTCCTGATCAAATTAAAGTCCCCAACAAACAGTGAACCATCTCTGTCACTTGCCAAAGCAACAGGAGCTAGCAGTCGTTGCCTAGATGCTTGACCCTCACAATCCATACAGTCTAGTGGTCTTTGATGTCCATCACCCATAGCGGTAAGAATAACCCTAGGTTTGTGTTTGAGGTAAATATTTGAACCATCCCCCTTTTGTAATATTCCTGAAATAATAATAATATATGTATTTAAGTTGAAGTATTTTATAGAGCAGTGCTTACCTTCATGGAAATTATATCTGTGATGAATATCCAAATTCCATCCTCCTACATCAGATATGCTCATGTCGTGACCACTAAGTTTCGTGGTCTGTACGTCCCAAATAATATCCTTGCAGTCACTATATTGATATCCCACTTTCACTATAGCTGTAGTGACTCCATAAACTCTCTGTTTATAGACATTTAGACGATTCCATGCGTAAGTAAACTTGATGTGAGGATCAGCCTCGAAAACCTTCTCAAACAAAATTCCTTCTATGGTGATTCTAAGATGGATCAGTTTGAGAGTGGGAGGAATAACATCAGGTGTCAATTGAAGTTGAATAGTTGAAAGATACCCTGCGGCACGTGAACTGTGATATACCAGATGCAGACCTGTACCAGGAATGCCTAGACTTTCTTGTATTACTTGGGATTCAGTTAATATGGCACTCTTATCGGGACAGGCTCCTTGGAATCCGTGCTTCCATGTTGCAAGGACCACGGGTTTCATGGTGTCATAGTCATGAGTCCCGCAAGGTTGTGGTATGGAGATTATCGATTTTTCTTCACCAAGTGTCATGATAACGTTGTCTATGATAACAACTTCGTTCCATGGTACAAATACAATGTAACTTTGTGGTCTGAAGGGTGATCTTCCGAATTGTAATGTTACAGCACCACCTCCGTTCACCAAAAGATCAAACCATCCGTCGTCTCTGGTTAATGTGAAGCCTTCAAGTGGTGTGCTGGTACTTACACGGACTCCCATGAGTCCTATGCCCATTTGGGTCACTACCCGACCCCGTACGACAGCAGATCGGCTGAAAAATATACCAGTTAATTACTATCCGGATCAAGTAGATGTGTTTAAGATTTCTACTAAACTATCTAAGTCCATACAAAGCAAAAATCAAAAGTCACAATCACAATGGGTAAAATTGACGGAAAATAAACACAAAAGAAAAACTAGCAGGCAAAATTTTTGATGGCCCAATCTTCATACTATCATCTAGCGGTAAGATGCATCTTAAGATTCTACTCTCTTTTTCTACTTGTAGTGCTCTCTTGGTTTGAATAGTGGGGCCTTACCTCGTGTTGAAATGATTCCAGAAAACGCTGAGCAGCAAGAATAGAAAAAAGCCAATTTGTTAGATCAAATTCTTCTATTCCGATTGTGATCTTTTATTTAACTAATGGTGACATAAGATCGTAAGTAAATACAGTTAAATTGTGAATTCGTATATCGGTCTAATTATTACAACGTTGCAAATTATGTTTTCTAGGAACATTAATAACTAGTATACAAATTCTAGTTCTATTCCAGTTCCATATACATAGAGGATGATGATATTTTTATGATGATATTTCAACTGCAATATAGTTGATGATATAGGCAAAGGAATTAGAATTTTAATTTAATAGCACAATTCACTATTACATAGAGCAAAATTGAAATTAAATTATTTTCATTATTTCCCTCATTAAAAAACACATTTCATTCATTAAAAAATTTCATTTTCTATCATATAATTTTTATATATTTTTTTTTATATTTCACTGTATTTACTTACTGTTAATGGTATCAAGAATGATTCTATTCAATATAAGAAGTGTAAAAAAGGAAGATACTGTATATAGAAATAACAATAGGATGTGTTTTCAACTGGGGCACAACAATGCATCTATACTTAATCATTTTTGCAAGGAACATATATAATATATAGATAACACGAAATCGTATTGAATCAGACACTTTTAGAGGGTTAGGGATTAACAATAAGGGGAGTGGAATATATAAGGTGTTCCGAATTGAGCGGATAAAACTTTACCAAAATATTTTATTTATTACTAAAAATATATTTTATTGAATTTGTTTGAAAGAAAAGACTAAGGAATAAATCCGTAGTAATACTAGTCCAAAAAAATAGTAATACTATTTCTATAGAGCACCAAATAATCTTTTAGTCACGTGATTTTTTAGTCAAATGAAACGTCAAATAGAACTGTCAAGGATGGATTCCGTCCATCTTGCATGGATACATGGATAGCATTATACTAAGGGCTGGCAAAGGTTAGTCTTGGGTCGAGATTTCCGAATGTAAGAAGAGTACAATGCGTTTATAATGTACTGAACAAAGAGGGAACAGTGAACAACAGTGAACCAAGCCAAACGTATGAAATAAACCGAGAAACTGTGCACATTGCTAAGAGACGTGGAAGGGGATAAACAGATTTGTCGCAGTCGACCGGTTGACCCAATTATTAGTACTTCTGTCAGTACTTAAAGTTCTAGGGTCATCATGCGTTCAGCTTCACGATTTAATTACGTCTCGTGATACTTCATTTGTTTATTTATTAACGAGTCGTTGTAATTTTTTCTATAGCTTGAACTTTTTTAAGTGCAAATTAGAAACACTTGCATTTTTGGTAAAATTAAGTGGAATTGAGTTGGTGTTCGACAGTGGTCGCGCTATTAGAACTCTGAAGTCAAAAATCGATATCTCGAAATCCATTAGAATTAATTGATTGTAGTTTTTCAAAAACTTCTTCGCAGATAGTATGCAAAAATTTTTATAAATAAAAAAGTTATACGATTGCTGAAAACTGCTATGCACTAAAAGTAAATAGATGGGTTGTTTAAATTTTAGAATGAAAAAACAAACAACCTTACCGAATTTTTCTTATGTAAACATATTGTAAATAATCCGATCTTTAAAATAAAAAAAAACTTCAATATCTAAAGTGGTTCTTAAGTTACGGCGTATAATGTGTAAAAAAGTTGAGTTTTTAAATTATCGCGATTACTGACGTTTTCTCGTTATAAAAAAAATGGATACCCTAATGATATCCTTATAATTCCATTTCAGATGCTCAGAAACATATCTAATGATTTTATCTAGTTACCTTTCGAAAAAAAGTCTTAAAAATAAGCGGTTTGCGATCGTGATTTTACTTTACTTGATAGGAAAAGGCGTACCGGCAACAACGCAACAGCACACCGTCGCATTTCTCTCACTCCGACTTAATAAGATCCCTATGAGATTTACTTCCACACATGTAAATACCGAACCAAAAGTAACAGTTGCCAGCACGGTATTCCTTCCTAAATTCTTTCATTCGAAGGCTCAAAATAAAACGAACACTTTATTGGTAAAGTTTTGACGTCCGCATAATTCAAAAACACCCTCAATATATAAAAAGAACCATTAGGCTTAGGGGAAGTGTATACACATACCTCTCGTTAAAAGTCTCCTGGCGCGCGTAATTCTGCAGGCTGCCCTCGTCGATCAGGAACTTCATCCTCTCGAAGAACGAGGCCGTTATCGCGGGAGGCTGTTTTCTTAGCAGGATGTCGATGGGCTTGGGCGAAGACACGCACAATTGGCTGCTCTTGCAGGCGGGGCTGGTGCAGCATTCGGGGTCTTCGCAATCGCTTAATCCGTCTAAAAAGCGAACGCAGAGACTGTTAGGGTATCGATAATGGCGTTCAATTTCGGGGCACAAAGAACGGGAGAACGAGTGGAGCACTCGCGATAGCAAAGCGTATTTACTTTAATCATATTTTTCTTTTGTGTTCGATATTTTTGCAATTTTCGTGAAGGCGTCAAATAAATCTAAACAAAATTATACAGATCACAAATTTAAGATTTGTCAGCATTCATGGGACATAGGGCGCAGAATAAATTTTAATAACGCCAAAATTATAAGGAAAGAACCGATAGCCTCTAAAATAAAAATAAAAGAGGCTTTTTAATACAATCTAATAAAAATAAATATATTGCTCATGCATCTGTAGATGTTAGTAATGTATGGCAATCGCCTTCTTTGATTTTAAAGAACAAAACATAAATAAACATAACATACGTAAAAATTAAAAATAATCATACAGAAAGTTTGGGATTTTTTGGTTTTACCTTATTAAGTAATTGTTATCAGGTAGTAATTGTAAATTTTGAAGTTTAACTTGATATAATGTCATTTTAACAGAACGTCAACGGTTTTTGTAGACGTATCTATTTTAAAAAACTAAAGTGTTCTCGAATAGTTGAATTTAAATATTTTTTTTATCTTTGTATTTTTTTGCTTCCGACGACGGAAAGATACACTTTCCGAAACGTTAAGAATTTTTTGTTCGTTAAGCAAATTTGTATATCTGTAAAACTTAAAAATAACTGTGAACTTATAAATATATAAATATGCAGAATGTGGGTAACGTAGGTGGTGGCAACATTGTAATGGGTCTATACACCAGCAGACAAGAAATTTCAGTCAAATTTCAAACATGAAATTTTTCTTGAAAAATGTGAAATGTAAAATTGTCAGTTTTCACATTTTTTCACAAGTCCTCGATTTCACTACTACAGACGAAAGAAAGAGGCAAAAAATTTTTCGGAAATTTTCGCAGAGGAAAAACTGACAGACTCACCATACTTAAGCGACTCAGAAAGTTACCAAAGTATTTAAATAATTCTACTTATATTTGAATTTCTACCAATAAAAATAGGCTTACCTTTGTCATTGTCCCTTCCATCATTACAATTCTGTTCCAACAACAAACTACAGTCCGGTCCATCCCATCCATTGTCGCACCTACACTCCCAAACGTTATCAGAATTGAACCTGCACTGACCGTGCGCAGAACAGCTGTTCGGACACCCCTCTATCGTGCAGTGTTTTCCGTTCCAGCCAGTGACGCACAGGCACGTTCCGTTTTTGCACTGACCGTGTTCGTTGCACCGTGGATCGCACTGTTTTAGGTTGCAGAACTCTCCTGACCATCCAGGGTCGCACTGGCACGCTTCAGAGACACAATGACCGTGATTGCCGCAGTCCAGATCGCAGAGTTCTGAAAAAAGTTTTCTGTTTTTATAAATATTCTGAAACTACGCTAAAAACTGTAGTTCTATGAAGGGGCTGGCTTTTCTGGTTTTGGGTACCGATTTTCGTGTGTACGAAGAGTATGGTCAACACCCTTAACTTATAAGATGTACTGAATAAAGATAGAAGGCAAGTATTTTCCCAAGCGCATGGAGTCTAGCGTCAGATTAAGTGGTTATGTAATAAATACTTCGTATTTTTGCTCTCTCCGACTCACTCGATTGCCATAGCGATTCACTCTTATACATGTAAACGCCGACCCAAGGTTTCGCTTGCCAGCAGGTTATATTACATTATATCGCTTGTCAGGAATAGAAATTGAAGCCAAATTTTTGAGATGGAGCTATACAAAATTCACATAAGTCGGTCCTTTTCGTTCAATAGCTTTGAATTACGCAAGCGTGATAAGTACTTCGCGATTAGTTGAGTTATTTCACACTAATCAATAGAAGTAATTTTCTAAGTTTCTATCTACCACGTAAATCAAGTTAGCGTCTGACTATTCGCACCTTTACATATCAATTTAAATTTAATCTCTGACATATTTAAACAAAAAATAATATATTATAAGTTATTAATATTTAGAGTTTAAAATAGTGCGCGGGCAGGTGACAGCGTTCAGCGATGAAGTAGGCGTTGAATCAGATCGTCTTATTTGGTGCGCGCGCACGAAAATCCTGTTGAACGAAAAGGATAGACTTATGCAAGATTGATATTCCTATTTCTTTTCTTTAGCTCCACTTTCGACTCATTGTGTAAATGCGGTACCAGCAATATATTCTTCTAATATATTTGATATAACGTATAATACCTTTAGAACAATCCTCTCCGGACCATCGTGGTTCGCAGGTACAAGTTTGCGATTCCAAATCAAAAGATCCATGTCCGGAACAGTCTGGAAGACACTGAAGAGCTTCCTTGTCCATCTGGGAACAATCTGCACCTTTCCATCCTTTTTTACAGATACAAGTACCATCGACACAGTACCCGTGACCCGAACAGTTGGGATGGGGACAATCAGCTGTATTACAACAATAAAAATTACATTATTTCTATACCTTTGTGGAGAGTTTAATTCTGGAAAAAATGGTCAAAGAAGCAGTAGCCTTTAAACAAAAAATAAAAGAGCCTTTCATAATCGAATCAAATATAAATAAATAGTAAAATATAACATCTTAAATTTTAAGGTTTCTGTTTTAGTGGTGAAAATTAATTCCTTCTTAACGGATGCTATTTCAGCAATTTTTATTCCGAATTTATTTTGAGCATATACAGGGCACAACAATAAGATGAAGTTTTTTGCCCGAACTTTGTAACACCCTGTAGGGTGTAGCAGCTGTAGTAGTTATTGCTAAATCAAATCACATTGTAGCCTCATCTTTTGTTTTTTTAATCACGACATTATCTTTGTTTGTATTGGAAATACGCTGCTTTAAAAACAAATCAAACTTTAAAAACAAATCAAACATCAGAACGTAGGTAAGTTTAATCTGAAAACTAACTAAAATATGAAAATTAAAAAGAAAAATAAAGAAATTTTAAGGGACTAATAGGTATCTAGTGTCCAATCGCCTGGTGATTGGACACTAGACGCCAGAACTGTTCCGCGCCATATGGGGGCACTAGGCTATTGCGCACAGCTCCTTTCAGAACCGTTCTGAGTAGCCCAGGGCGTAAAGCTCTGGAACTTGAAGTTCGCGAATGGAGGACAGCAAATACGATTAACATCCGTTACAGATAATGGCATTTCTTAATTTGACAGTCGCTGTTGTCATATTGCAAATACTCATAAATCCGTTTTCGCCTATGTCGCCTTGATTATTAACACGTACAACTTTCTGTCTACGAAGCATTTTTCCGAGACGTTCGTTTTAAAACAGCATATCTCCAATACAAAAAGAGATAATGTGGTGATTAAAAAAACAAAATGCTCCCAAAAGATGAAGCTACAATGTGATTTAATTAGCAATAGCTACTACCTCTGCTGCGCCCTACAGGATGTTACAAAGTTCGGGCAAAAAACTTCGTCTTATTGTTGTTCTCTGTATATGCTCAAAGTAAATTCGGAATAAAAATTTCTGACGTAGCATCCGTTAAAAAGGAATTAATTTACAATTAAAAAAATATCAAAGTCTAATGAGTGGTCCGCGAGAAATCCAACTTAATAACAACACTAATTTTTGGTGGCCGTTTTTTTTTGCCGGTGAGTTTATAAAGTGTAATTAAAACCACTATTTTATTCCACTAATTGCGAGGTTCTGAATGAAGCTTAACAGTTTATTCTTAAAAACGAAATTTCATAGGAATAAAAAAATTAAATCATTATAATATATATTATGATTGGCTTTAGTTACTTTCCAACCATTGTAAGAATTCTTGAAAAAACCAAGTTTTCATACAAGTCTAAATTGTTCAGAACTTGGTTTTAGAGAAGGGCCATGCATTCTTAAAAATTATATTGACAATTAAAAAAGTTATTAGTAGCGGGTTTGTTATTCATAGAAATATTAATAATAGAGTAGATGAGGCAATGATAGCGTGCAGAAGACAAAGAAATTAATAATAAAAAGGTCCCGGTATTTCGGGAAGTCGATTCAATCAATGGCCGTGTAGTTTTTTGATACAACTAGAAATAATATTAATTTGACACAAACAGGAAAATACAAGAATTTCTAAAACTTGTAACATAATAATTATGGAGAGTTTCTACTACAATTACTAAAAATAATTAGGATTAGTTAGCTATATTTTTGATATAAAATATTTACATTATCTTATTTTTTTATTAGAGATATAGATTGTTCAGTCATCGTTCAACGTTACGTCATCATTATTTGTCAAATATGAGTTTTAGGGTGTGTCTGAGATCAGTTCATATTGTATAAAAACATTTAAGTGCATTCCTATATATTATTGATTGAGCGAGTTTTTGCAATTTATTAATTTGTTCTTAAACTCTTAATCAGTTACTATTCCTTTAGTTACAATCCTTTGAACTGTTAAAATTCCTATTTCTAAAACATCAACAACTCGCTATATTATTTTAAAATGCTATGAATTTGTATTTTGCATTGGAATATTACAACTTTGCATTGTACAGGGTGGTCGAAATTGGTCTGTTTTAACAGAGAAAACCTATTTCCTGACTAGATAGACCAAAACTGCCTGTTGATATTTTCACTGCGAACTGAGATACGGGGCCTTTTTTAATATTACTACATATTTAATAGCATCTCAGTTGGCAGTGAAAATATCAACAGGCAGTTTACGTCACTAAACGTGTCTCAGAAATCGAGCTCATGACATCTATGTCGGTTTTGCTCTATCTAATCAGGAAATATGTTTTATCTGTCAAAACAGACCAATTTCGACCGCCCTGTACACTTACTTCATATAGAGCGTCCAAGAGTGCCCCTTTCTCGTGAAAAATAATTTATTAAAAATGAATTTTGTTTGACAGCAACAACCAATTTTTAATTTTGACATTGCTTGATGTACGTTAATCAAATGACAATTACTAAAAAGAATATGCAGTAATTTACGAAATGCCGTAATGACGTCACCAATCTCTTCCATCTGGTTATCAAGTGATTGAGAGAGTTCGACAATATATGACGTGACGTTGAACGATGGTTGAACATTCTATATATCTGTTATTATCATTTTTAACTTATTATATATCATTTTTTAATGATTATTAATATTTATTAACTTAAAATAATAAACCAAAAAATTTAAGTCATACTGAACTCCCCGCATTGCCAGAGGTGGTAATACATGCTCCTTAGTGTCAAAGCCCATTATTAAAAATAAACCATTCATTAAAAATCAATGGTTTATCCAAAATACATTGCATTAATTTACAAGACCTGTTATTAGTAGTCAAACAAAACAAACATGGTGGTTAATACAGAGGGTACACGTTCTTACCCTCTTCGCAAAATTTCCCTTTGTATCCTCGGATGCAGTTGCACTTTCCATTAGCACAGTGTCCATGCCCATTGCAGTCTGGTACCTCGCACTCGTCGTGCCTCAGTTGGCACTCTTTGCCCTTCCAGCCTGGGTTACACTGACATTCCCCGTTAATATATTCACCTCTTTGACTGCACAGTACCGGACATACACCTAGCAGGACACAGAAATGAAGAAATCATGCAAACAGTGACATTTTGGTTAGTGACGAGATATTGGAATAAGTGCCATTGAGAAATAAATATGTTGAACGTGTAAATAAATGCGGATTTTATTCTGATTGAATTCAGTCAGAGTGCTAGCCATTGCCTGGAAACTTATACGGTGAAATTTTGACAAAATAATTTAGTATTGACTGAGGACACGGTATGTTGCCGGTGCGGTGGTAAGAAAAATAATTTTTAGAGGTTACTAGTTTATTTGGTTAGTTTTAAGATTTGGACCTGCGTCGAAAAAATACCGGTTTGTTTTGAATTGAAAACAGAATTGACATCTATGGATATATAAAAGCCTTCAACGTGAAAAGTCAAAGTTTCTAATTGTTTTATTACACTCTCATGAATAGTTCTCATTTTAGAAGTGTTTACTGTAAAATGATTAAGTTTATAAAATAAGTCTGAAAATAATTTTGCAGTTACTTGTCAAAGAAACATTCCACATATAATAGTTATTTTTTATACAAGACGATAAAATGGTATTTTAAGAAAAGATTAATTCATGAGCGATGAAATCGCGAGTGAATTAATTTCCGGAGACGATAATACAATTTTATAGTCGTGTATAAAACAATATTTTTTTTCCATAGCGAGTTACGTTTTAAAAAATATTCAGAAATTATTATTTCAAGGAATTTATTACGAGTAGAAAAATTATTGTGCTGGGTTGGCGTTGGTTTCTATGTAATTTGACAAATAAATAAAGTTGTAATAAATAAATCTCTTTAGTTGTCAGTTTTGAGTCAACATTTTTTAATTCTCTTTCGTGTCAATTGATGATTGAATTGGAGCCAGAAATGGCTCAAAACGAAATAAGTCAATTCCCAACAGATATTCAGGCTGAGGCGACAAACGTCATATCCAAACTACTTCCATTTAAATCCCGAATAACTTATGAAAAGGAATGCAAAAATTTTCAAAAATGGAAGCAATTAAAAAACGTGCGAGAATAAGTTTTAACCTATCCTCGCTGTTAAGTATCATTTAATCTACCCTTGCGGTTAAAGTACTATTTTATCTACTATTTTTGATAGATATAAGGCAATTTTAACAGTTGCTATGGAAAAAAGAAATATATCGTTCCAAATGTTTGTAGATAGTAAAGTGGGCAGACATCAGCTAGTTTTTATATAGTTCTGTTAACTATACTTATGTAAGTTTTATCAAAAATATTGTGATTTAATGAATACCTTGTAGACAAAATTTATTTTTAATAAACTGTAAAATTTATCTATTTTTATGTTTTATTAAAGTTACCCTGATATATTAATATAAATCCTTTGAATTCAAATATAAATATAAAAAACATTTAGAGCAGAAATTGCGAAGGCGCTGTTTCGCATGAAGAGTTTAACAGCCTTAATTTCCTTTATACATAAGTAACTATTATACATTATACATGTTCTATATTTTTATTCCTCTATGAACAAAATTATCCTAGGAACATGCTGTTGGATTAAAATCACGTAATGATGCTCCACTATCCGTTTTGTACTTACTTTCGCTGCAATCATCCCCTCCAAAACCTGGATTACACTGGCAATGGCCCATGAGACATTCGCCTTTACCACTGCACCCATTGGGGCAGTTTTGTGTCATGTCGTCGGCGACCACGGCTACAAACGTAATTTCTTGCGGGTCACCGTCGTCGTTGTAGAGTGATAAGAACCAGTGACCTTGCTCCATGTAGTGAGTTACCTCCTTCTTCACAGAAGACTAAAAAATACACATTGTAGTTAGTAAACAAACATTACTCCGAGTAGCATTTTTAGACGCAAAATCGGAAGAAAATATCTGCTGAGAAACATTGCGAAACAGTTTCGTCACATTTTTGATACATATGTTTCGTAACATAAATCGCTTTTTGTTTTGAAACATTTTACCAAAATATGGTATCGCTACATAAGCTATAACAATAAAGATCTTAGTGTCACAAATTTTTCGAAACTTTTAAGGAACAGATGTGGCTCACATTTACAGATTTCGTACCCGTTTTGTGCCTGAAAAGTTTCCATAATTTATTTGATATTCTGTCGAATACGAGAACATAACCTTACTTTCTTGTTTAGATTTTGTTCTGCAATTTCTGCATTTAAGCATTCTTCAAGGTTTTATAGTACTATAATTAAAAAGCAGAAGGAAAGACATATTTATAGTGAGTTCAAATACAGACATTTTTCTTATGCAATTTTATAATTATATATTATAGGCATTACAGATATGGGCCCGTATTCTGTAACTTTGACATAAAAACGTTACGCTTTCAAAGCGGTGAGCGCAAGTATTCGATCAGCGAAACGCAAGGCAGTCGATTTTGGTATTCTCGTTGCCATGCGAATCGTGTTCTGGATACGCGTTGAGCACATATTGGCAACATCACAATTTCTAATGTAGGTAATAGTCAAAAGTTGATAAGTGACGGATGTTACAATGAAAAATGTCAATGTTACGTGAATTTCATAACCTATTGTTGAGTTATGTCAAGCTATTTTTCTATGGATATGTCATTATTCTTATTATACGAGGGAAGTGTTGAAGTCGCTTCTCAGCATTTTCGATGTTTTGAACAATATTTATAGCTGCCAAGTCGTAAATTATCAATTACTTATTGAGGAATTTACAGAAGAAGTAGTAATTTTCACTAAAGAGCAAGATAATGCACAAAATCACAATTCTTTCGATTTTCACTGACAGTTCGACAAGTAAGACGATACTTTAAGGCAACCGTTTTCAAAGCGCTCAGCGCAATCAGTAAAGACGCTAAGCGCGTCAGACGAGAATACCGAAATCGTTAATTAAGTGCGCGCTCAGCGAAAATTAACGTCATATACGCTGAGCGTCTAAAAGCGCTTAGCGTTTTCAAAGTTACAGAATACAGGCCATGATTTGTTTTAGGAATAAATGTAATAACAGCCACTAACCATATCCAACAGGAGACCGAAGAAAAATGTTACTAGCAAATATTTTTTTGTCTTTTTTCCACAATGGAATACATGTTTTATGTTTTAATTGTGTTATAATAAGTAAATATTTTTTTGAATTATTTTGACCAGAAGTTTTCATTGGCGTTTTTGATAGGTGACTAGTTCGAAATTTCTACACAGATAGCGCTAAATCGAAACATTTTGGAAACAACGTTTCCATTTATTGTCGATTCGTTTTCGAAATACGAGTTTCCCTCTTTTTAGACACGAATATGATATAATGTAGATGATTTGTGTTCGACTCCATGTCAATGTTATAAAATAATAAATTAAAATTCCGCCATGTTGGCTAGTGATATCATAGTCATACCAAACAATTAACCAAAAACAAATCATATTTAGTTTATTTTATACAGGGTAACAATTTGAAAACGAACAGTATTTAATATTACCTCTACCGATGATAGTATGAAAATTTGGCGAAATACGTCAATTTACATATCAAGGGGAACAATTTTTGAGGCATTTGTTGTCGTGTTACTATCAGTTCTTTGACCCCCAGGGCACCTACCCCTAAAATTTAAATGGTAACCTCTATTTCTTTTACATTTCATTTTTGTGTTCCTTCTAAAATTCTCAAAAAAATAATGCAGTTTATGTAAAATTCTATAAGAAACACAAAAATGGTAAAAGAAATAGGGGTTGCTATTTAAAATTTTAAGGGTAAGTGCCCTGGAGATCAAGGAGTTGAAAGTAACACGACAACAAATGCCTCAAAAATGGTCCCCCTTGATATGTAAATTGACGTGTTTCGCCAAATTTTCATATTATCATCGGTAGAGGCAATATTAAAAACCGTTCGTTTTCAAATTGTCACCCTGTATAAAATATGTCTATGACCTTTTCTAATTACTAAATTATAAAATCTTAAAAACACTTACATGAGACGCTCTGGTTGTCCTAGCTTTGAACCCGCTAAGAACCTCCAAAATGTGGTACTGTGTATGAGTAGGCAAGGCATTCCTCCTGGCATAAACCCCGATACTAGCTCCCCTTGGTATGCTGTAGTCGAATTTGACGTAGGCAGCTTCCGATTGGTAGAACTGCATGTTCCAGTAGCCGTAGGGTGAGATTTCTTTGGACAGTCTTTGACCCAGGGCTATTTGGGAGAAGGTAGTTCCGTCTGGCGGGAACGATTGCGCTGGGAAGGTTCTAGCTCCTAAGGAAAATTGATCAAGTTAATTCGATGGTAATAATAAATAATATAAGCGTTGTTAAATTGTATCTTTGATGAGGTTAAATATCGCTCTTAATATTGAATAAACAGATTAAAGACGAGATATCAAAAGTTTTAATATAGCTGACTTATATTTCGGTTAATAAGTGGCGTTCTAATTTTATTTAAAACGTTTTTTTTATTTAAACGTTATTTTATCGCAATCCATATCCCGAACTTATTGTTAATTTAAAAGCATAAAAAGAGTGTTACAAAATGATTTTCCATTTAACAAACAGAATTTATAATTTAAAAGTTGTAAAAAAACCTGACTTTTGACATAAAAGACGGATAAACAATGTTTGAAACCATGGAAATACGAATATGAAATTTGCTACCCATGATACAAAGAATACAAGGTATGATATTGCGCAGGTTGGTCACTACGTCACAGGTGATAAACGGCACCATTGGTCGGCAAGCTCTGCGCGCCAATTTCAAATTGTCAAACAGATTGTGTCATCTGTGAAATTTGATTGTGTCAAAATGTGAAAATAATTTTTCAAATGTCAAGCTCGATGTCAAAACATAACTTTTGGGGTTATGTCCTAATTCTTCCCTATTTTAGGTTTTTTTTTTATTAGTGGCAATTGGACAATATGGATATTTTTTTGTATGGCGTATGACGTCACAGGTGGTATGCGCAAACTTAACGAAATTGGAGCCGCTATCGATCATACCTTGTTTTTTTTGTACCATGTTTGCTACCTAGCAAAGATTTACGTTGTTGCCAAGAATATTCGCTGATTAACTAAATAATGCTATCTTGTACCCACTTCGCACTAAAAGAGGTTCTAAAAAGAACAATGTACGACTGCAAGGTCTCCTAGTAAACATTCTTAAGCTTAAAATATCACAACACAATTCATTTAAACCAAAAACTCGTAATACAAAACTAAAGTGTCAAAACGAATGACAATGTCAGGAAATAAATAAATAAATGTGGCAACTTGACATTTTTTACAGCAGAGTTACGACCTGTATCACAAGCGGGAAATTTAAAATCCAGTTAGTCCACTGGGCGCCGAATATGTCCATGGTTGGCAACAATGAATTTAAATATCGCGCCCTCGATTACGTAACTAAAAGTCCACTTGGTATCGCTTATAGAAAAATAGTATTAGGCTCCCTCCATAGTCTTTTTATTCAACAATTTTTAGTTATTTATGTATTCAAAAAACAAAGCGAAAGCATACAATGAAGGATGTGTCGGTATGAGTCGGTAATTTTTGCAAACAAAAATTAACAGTTTGGAACAGAATTACTCTTATAAGACTTGATAAATATTTATTAGTACATAATTAAAAAAGTGTATAATTAAAGTTGTGTAGTATGTTCAATTCTAGCTTCAATTTAGAGCCAGAGCTAAATCTAATAATAAAAACCAATCAAGCTGTATGCATGCAATTTTCTACAAATATTAGATACTATCGCATTCGCCGATCTCAAATGAAGAACATATACAGACACAAACCCCCGATAAGCGTATATGTATGTTCACGTAACAGCATTATCTGAGAGAAGCACAGATATTGCCTGGAATTAGGCGATCGGGGCTTCCCTCAGGAACATACATATAGGGTGACTCAAACAACAAAAAAATAGGACTAGTATAGGTCTAATATATTTTCAATTTAAAAAAAATCTCCGAATGTGACTTAATACCTAAAAATCCTTAACTAGTCTCTTTGGAACTATTTCTATCAAAATAAACATTTTTATTTTCTAGTTTCCTAGTATTATAGCTCAAATCGCTAAATTTAAATCACCCTTACAGACACTAACTGACAAAGCAAGCAATAATTTTCCAATCGTAGCTACGAATCGGGACACAAAACAGTGTTAATGATGTATTGATGCCACTGTGAGATATTATTAATGAAGCTGGCTGATTGGTTAAACATGCGATACACATGAGTTGTTGTACAGGGTGAGTCAACGAGAGAATAAAGCTTATTACCTTAGTTTAGAGCTCCTAGTCTAAAACACATGATAAAACTGTTCTATTTAATATGAATTCTTCATTCTTAAAACAAATGGGATAATGAACTTTATCACTGACTCATCCTATCCACCTACAGGGTGTTTCAAATAAAATGTGCCATCTCTCGTGGGGAGATTCCTTATGTAAAATAACATTTATTTTTCATATGAACATAGGTCCGATTCTGCTTTGTTTCGTAGCTATAGGGTGTTAAATCTTATTTTGGGGTATTTATTATAATTTTCCTCCAAGTGCTTTTAGCGATTCGAATGAAATTTTGAGGGAAAAAGCTATTATAAGTGCGACATATTTTAATGCGAAAAATGTGTCGACAAATTCACCAGGGACGTGCATATGGTTTTTCTAAAAAAAAAAAAAAAAAAAATAAAAAAAAACTGTGCTCCACTGCCTTTTTTTTCTTGTTAGCATACTGGTTTAGGCCATTTAATGCCGATTAAAAGTGGTCTTTTTATAGTTTGTCGATTTCAGTCTCCTTGATGAGATATTATACACAATTTTATTAATTTACCTTAATCCAAAACTATGTAATAGCAACCTTTAAAAAATTTAGTGTCATTAACTACCCAAAGTGTTAAATACTCATTGACACTTCACAAAAAATTAAAAAAAAAGTGTGCGAAAACATCTGTGCGGAAATGCATAGTTTTAAAGTTACAAGATATTTAAACTTAAAAAAAAAATCCTTTGTAATTATCTTAAATAGCATTATTTTTCTTTTCCTTGAATTTACTTTAGGGAGCACTGAATATCAGTATTATACATTTTAATAAAACATAATATGATTAAATAAATAATTTATTAATTTAATTTTATTAATTCTGATTAATAAAATTCCATTTATCAAGATACAACTTTTAATCGGCATTAAACGGCCTATACAATTCTGCTAAGTAAAGAAAAAAAAGTCAGTGGCGCACATCTTTTTTTAGAAAAATATTTCAGTAATAACCCATATGCACGTCCCTGGTGAATGTCTATACTTTTTTAGTACTAAAATATGTAACATATAGTAAGTTTTACTTTAAAAATTTCATTCGAATCGCTAAAATCATTTGATTAAAAAACTCGAAAAAAAATGAAGACTTTAGCAAAGCAGAATCGGATTATACATAGTAACATAAAACATAAAAAATAAATTTTTTATCAACAACCGTTTAGTTATAACGTTTTTACATCACTATTTTTTTAGTATTTCAGTTACGTTATGAGATTCATAACACAACTAGTGGTGTTATGAATCTATAACACAACTAGTTTTTATAAAAATGAAAAACAACTACGAAAAATGTGACAAATGTCATAGTTAAAGATGTTAAAGGTGGGCGACTAATAAACGAAAATTAAAACAGCATTTTCTTATTTTTTGGTTGTAGATAAAACGTTTTACATGACACGTGCGTTTAAACATGATTACAACACTCGTTGTTGCAATCATGTTCATAAACACACTTTTACTGTAAATAACTATTATTTCTAGATGAAGAATCTCCCCACAACGCATGCTTTTTTTGAAACACCCTGTATAAAGCAATCAAAGCATAACTTAGTTTAATAATTTAATTAAAAAATGCGGCACTGAGTAAATGTTACCTTCTAAAATAAGAATTGTGGGTGGAGGAGGTAATTTCGTAGTAACCTCTGCACAATTTCTTAAAACATCTTCTGTTACCGACGAAGTCTCAACGTCTTCATAAGCTGAAGTAGTTGAACTCATACGATATTTCTTATTTGAAGTTGTACCATACTCTTTGGACCCAAACAATCCATAATAATCATAATCCGAAGTCGAATTCCCATCTGAAAATTCATTTGAATCGTCTAAACAAGGACACTCACACTCACAAGCGCCTCCTTGAAGGCCGTGAGCTGATTCTTGTTGAAGCTTTTGTGCCTTGTCTTGCTCGCTAAGCTGCGTAAACGAAGCTGCTTCGGTTTTATCAATATTTACACCGGGTTCTTTACCGTCAGTGGGAACAGAGACAGACAGAACATATACAGAGTGAGTTTGGTAAGGATTGTGAGGATTGGGGTCTGTGGAGATAGTGACATTTACCAGGACTCTGGAAGTTTGTTGGGAATCTTTGTTTGGAGAGGGTATTTCGAATATTTTTACATTAGGCTCGGTAAAGCTGCTGGCGTTAGTGGAATTGTTAGTAGAAGTGTCGCTGAATTCGTTAACTTTAATATCTTTGAGCTTGTCGGTAGTAAGTGGTGCAGAAGATAAATTTATATTAGTTAATTCTTTAGAATTTGAAGAAATGTTCGTTTCGTTATCTTCTTTAGCTCTTTCTTCAGCTGAATAACTTTGTTCGTACAAAAATATAGGCGAATCTTGTTGTAGTTCTTCACTTGAAGACTTCTTATTTACTGTATTGTTTTCTAATCCTTCATCAAATAATGAGGCATCATTAGAATCATCATCGTTCGATAGTAGGTCTTTGTATAGATCCACCAAATAATCTGTTGTAGTTGGATGGACAGGGACTTCATTTTCTTCATTTAATTCATCAGTGGTTGTGCTTTCTTCTTTTAAAACTTCAGTAGATATATACCCTTGATCGTTTTCAGAAATTTCGTTATTGATTGAAACCAATTCATCTGTAACTTCTAATTCTCTTTCTGTAGTTGTTGTGATTTCATCTTCTTTAAGTACTTTATTAGTGGAGCTAAAAACATCGAACACCCCAAGCTTCGTTGAAGAAGTTTCAACGTCATGCAAATATACAGAGCTATCTGAAGTAGAACCATGCAAACTACCATGCTGTGTAGATGTGGAAGTATCGGAAAGGTCATGCTTAAAAGAAACATCTCTACGTTTTCGAGCGTAGATGGCCTGGTTAGGCTTACCTCCGGTGTTTGTTGCGGGTTTCGGTTTGGTTGAAGTGGAATGATTCGTTTCGGATGGTGCTGTCTTGGAAGAGGGGACGATTTGAGTGTTTTCTCCTACCAGGACTGCACAAGGCTTCGTGCTTTGATATGACCAGTTGATTAAGCTTGATGCTGAAAAAGACAATAAGGAATAATGAGAAGAGCTAAGAACCAGAGAAGTTTTCTACGTAAAGGGCTTGTATATAAAGGGTGAGTCTTAAATAAGTTTTAGGGGTAGTATATATATTTCGACCCCAGAAACATGATTAGGGTTTTTTTTTCGCGAAAAATTTTTGGAAATTTTTTAGTTTTTAGTTAAAAACATAATTTCCTGATAATATGGCAATATAGGTAGTAGATTAAATTTACAAGAAAGAAAACCCAGAAAAGATCCAGTGATTCTCAAAATTTTAGCAAAAAATCATTTTTTTTGGAAATTTTCAACTCGATTATTTTGGACTTATTTGAAAAACGATAAACAGAAAATATGTCTACCAACCCTAAAAATATATGCACTTTTTTGAAACTCACTGTATATCGAGAAATTGACACTTTATGTTCATTTTAATAACAACTTTAATAACAACATAATTTAACAGTTAACTAAGAATATAACTTGTATTTCTTGGTAATGATAATCTGATAATGAAAAAGTTCAAAAAAAAAATAAAACTAAAAAAATCACCCAAACAACTTCTATCCTCAAAATGAAATCATAAAACATTTCGAATGTTCCTTTTTCGAGAGGATCTTTTAAAAAATTCGGATATATTTCGTTTAATTTATCACCCAACACTATACTATTTTCAGTTTAACAAAAGGTCGCATAATGTACCTCGAAATACTCTGCATTCCGCTACGTGTTCATATTTACTACAGACCGACAAAGATCTACAAGAATCTCCTCTTCATTAGTCCCTAAATTTTTTCCAAAAGCAAAAGTTTTGACGGCCGACAATATATAGGCGAAACGTGGTCTTCTCTATGTCCCCCATATGTCGCAACAGCTGGCCTGATGACGGGCGGACACAGGTAAGAAACCTCGACCCAGAAGTGCCACAATAGATACCATTCAATAGAGAGGGATCTTTATCCCTCTCTTTTTTTTCTGACCGTCTCTCAATGAAAAAAGTAATGTTACAAATAATTTCCACTTGATTTTTTTTGTAGGGGTCCTTGTATCGTGTTACCAGATGTGTAATGGAACGAAATACATCCACTGGTGGCTTAATTTGCTTTGAGAGGGTAAAAAATCAGATTAATTCAAACCCTTCCTCTGTTGATCAAGATTAATTTGAACTAGTTGAAAACGATTACCAGCATTTTTTTCATCGATGATTCACGATAACGTTAATTCGGCAATCGTCCTAATTTTGTGCAAGTCCAAATGAGATAGGCAAACAAGCAGTTTAAGTAACCTGTTTCTAGTATTTTCTTAAGCTGGACAATGTTATTTTTCTATTAAAAGGTTTTTTAAGTATACTTTTAGTTAAATATGTACCTTTAAATATTATGCCAAGGTTGTTCACTAAAATTGTAATACTTTTGACTAGTTTTACAAAAAAAAAACATCCAAGCCGTTGGTATTTCAGATATTGAAAATAAATGTTTATTTATTTTATGAATTTATTTCCTTTAGATGCAAAAAATGCAAGGGAAATGTTTTCGTCAGGGAAATGTTTCAGGCAAAACTTTTCAACAAACAAATGTATTAAAATCTTCAATTATTATTGTTAATCTTCTTTTTTATTTTTGTTGATGTTAGATAAGTATTTAATAAAGATATTACAAGAATATTTTGCTTAATTAAATGAGGCGAGAAATAAGAAAAACCGAGTGAGGGAAATGGGAAATGGGAAGAGGGAAGAAATGTAGATAATTTGACACTTTCAAACTTTTTAAAAGTCAGTAATATCAGTATTATGTGATTGTAAATAAAAAATATCATTTTAAATTAGAGAAAAAAATTTTCCGTTGCGTTTTTTTGCATCTGAGTTCATTTATTTTTATTAACTTACCCGATATATATGATAGTGCGGCCGTGAGCACCACGCACAAAACAATAAAGGCTATGGCAGTACACCTCCAGGTACACCTGGAGGCCAACCCTTTTCGAAAATGGAACCTGCTGGCCTGGGGAGGGAAGTGACTAGAATTGGGCCTCCTCAGGTTGTTGCGGACGGGCAATCCGGGAATCTGGCCTCCGTACGAGAGGCTGTTGGTGCCTCCGCCTCCTCCGAGGCTGCCCGCGTGGCCTGGGCCTAGGTTCTTCAGGTCTTTGGAGGGACTGTTACATGACGAGTTCGGCTTGTAGTCGATCACTTGGTTTTTTGGATGATCTGCAAAGAAAGACATATTTTTATTGATCTGCTCGTTATGTTAAATTTTATATAGGCACTTCTTTACAAACATACATATACTTAATAGTTTGATTGAAAGTAGTACGTATCTATAAGCGATACTAATTAAACTTTTAGTTACGTAATCGAGGGCGCATTTTTAAATTCATTGTTGCCAACTATGGACATATTCGGTGTCGGGCTGACTAATTAGAATTTAAATTTTCCGCTGGGGATTCAGGTGGTAGCTCTGCTATTCAACATGTCAAGTTGCCACATTTATTTTTTTTTATTTCCCGACATTGACATTCGTTTTTACACTTCAGTTTTGTATTACGAGTTTTTGGTTTAAATAAATTGTGTTGTGATTCTTAAAGCTTAAAAAATTTTCTAGCAGACCTTGCAGTCCAACACTTTTTAGAACTACTTTTAGTGTGAAGTGTACAAGATATCTTAATAGCCGTTGCAAAAAAAAACTAATCGCAACCTTATATATTGTGAACGGGAAAGAGGTAGTAATGGTCCTTTATGTCCCTAAAGTGCTGTTAAGGAGATGAGTTTTGTTGATGTAAACAATAACTGTTTATATATTTATATAATAATAATAGCTCCCGTATATAGCGTTTAACGCCTTGGGAGTTGCAAGGTACAGCTTGTCATACTAGAGCCGTTCGGTATATAATAAGGAAGGTAATGTGGCTAGCATTACGCTTCAACCGTCTATTATTACCTCAGGATTGTGAATCCCAAGTACTCATTTAAGGCTGAGTCGACCTAGGTACCCAAACTATTTTTATTTTAATAAATGGAGTAACTGGAATGGAGAAGTAAGTAATGAGTAATAATACTAATACTAGTGAGTAATAATTAACTGGAATGGAGTAGTACATACGAGAACATTCGAAACCTTCTCTATGCATCTAATGATTTATGGATTATTCGAGAACTCTTTAGCTGTGGGTATAAAATCCGACAGCTGGAGCCTGAAGAGGACCGAAATAAATAGACGAGTAGAGTTGTCGCGCTCAATTCAAAATAAATTCTTTCTAGATAAATAGTTATAAATAGTTTGTATATAGTTCTTTAAGTCTTTTAATAGTTATTATTTGTTAATTAGTGTAAATAAATTGTGACTTTTTATCCACAGGGAACCGACGAACAACGTAACAATATATTTATAAAAAATATATTTTTGTCTCCTAAAAGATTCTGATTGAAAGAAAATATGTAAATGTGGGCAACGCTGTGCCGGTCAAGCTTAATCACGTGACTAAAAGTTTATTTGATATGAACAATATGTTTAACAAAACCTATTTCTGAAATTCATTGATTTCCGAAGAGTTATTTTTCACAGTAGATAACACAAACATAAACATCAATTCTTGGTAGTCATGCAGTTAAAAATATCGACTGTGTGTGTAAATATTTAATTAGATATACTTATTTAAATTAAATCCTAATCTAAATAGGCGTCCGCTGGGCCTTGACCCGCGACCTCCTAATTTACTGACCCTTTGACACGTTATTTCGGCCTATTTGATTCTTCTATCGCCCGAATGGACGATTTACTGTATAATAAATCCAGCCATTTGCATGTGATAACATTATTCTCGAGTTTTCTGAAAGATATATATGTTTTTCTGGTTTGGGTTCATGGAAGTAAGTTCGAAAATTAATTTCTGGCGATGTTGATTTACGACAATATATCTTATTTGTTTGTATTGTGGTAGATACGATATGACTTTCAGCCAAAGTAATAAAATATACGTGATGTTTTGGACCCATAGACATGAATAAAAGATAGCCTAATCGTAGATATACATTGATTTGTTTGTAATTTGTATTTACTTTAATTTTAAATTTCTACATAAATTACGAGTATTAAGACTTTAATTTAGAGGTTTACAGCAACATTAGAAGAAATCTTCCGTCAACTGGACTGGACCAAAAAATAGATGAAGAATATCTTAACCATCTAAGATTCGCTGATGCTGATGACATAGTCCTAATCGCCAATAGTCCTGAAAAACTACAAGCACAAATTAATGAAGAGCCACAGAGTCAAATCCCTCAAATGGCAATGGGAAGGACACCTGGCAAGAAGAACGGACAACAGATGGACCACAAAAATTACAGCATGGCACCCACGAGGAATTAAGAGACCTAGAAGAAGACTGAACCTGAGATGGGAAAATGATATTAAGAAAATAACAGAGCCCTATAGCCAAGAATAGACAACAATGGGTCCAACTACAAAGAAAGTATGTGAGGGAGGTTACACCATAATTTTAAATTGTTGAATAAGCTGAAAATAATGATGATGATGAATATGGAAAATAGAAAATATGTTTAATATGGAAAAAAAAAGAAAAAAAAAATGGAAAAGAGAAAATATGTTTCTTTTGACCGGGTCTACCACCCCTTAAAATACTTGCACTTATTTTTGGGACACCCTGTATATCTCGGTTACCTTCTTTTCGTACAGTAAAGTTTGTGTACTTGATATGTCTGAAACAAAACCATTCTTTTTGAATTCATACATTTTGACTTCGTTCACGTCCCACTAAAATTCTAAATTCTTCTGTCTTTTCACACCATTTTTAACAGTACCTTGTAAATTTTCAAAATTGTTCAAATCTAATAGAGCTGTATAAACTGTGCTGCCTAAACAAATATTTAGAGTCGACTTAATAGCAGAATTTGTCGTGAATCAAGAGGCTCCGAAAAATATTATTTTAAGATTAGAAGAGCAAACAGAGACCGGCGACCTATCGTTATCCCTAAAAGGTCTATGTTTAAAAAGAGGAGATAAGAACCCCGGGAGCACTTAAGGGCACTACGCCCTTGCTTCTATTGGCCTACGTGACATAGTTTCAGGGTTAATGTGCGGTAAACTACGAAAAATAGAATGTTCTTCCGGTGGGAGCATACTGGTTTACTTCATTTTAAGATTATTCTAAGATATGTCTTAATTTCGTAAGTAAAAAGTTGCCCAGATATCAAAATAGTTGCTGTGGCTCTTGAACATACTTAACTTCTTTCTTTTTAAGATTCTGATGGTCAAATATCAACAAAATATTCCTTATGTTTGGACTAAATTTTCTCGAAAATAAAGACATAATTTAAAATTCCGTTACAATACGGAAATAGAATGAAGTTTTGTGATTACAGTGATATATAATTTATATGGTTTTGTAACAAATTGCTCGCCATTTTATGGCAAATGCTGAAGCTCTGCAAACCTTAATCAAGCCTTAATCAAAGTACGTGTGTTTGGAATTTTGGATGTGGCTTAACGCAACAGGATTGGGCTAAGCCCTTAGGCAGATTTCTGAAATATAATATACAGGGTGGTCCGAACTGTATTCTGGAAACTTCGGCAGCATATTCTGCAGATAAAAATAAGTAAAAAAGTTCGTACAAATATATGAGTGTTGAAGTTTCATTTTTATTTCGATTTTTTCCAAATAATTTCTGAAATAACGTCAATATTTGGAGGAAAAATGGTGCCTGGGAGTTTTTTGACATGAGAAATTTGATTTTGATGTCAATATGACTCCTAGTAGTAGAGGGCGCCACCTACATATTTTTAACTGGTTTGAAGAATAATAACTTTTCGTCCGTATCTGTATAAAACTACTGAGTAAAAAAATATACATTCACGACGTTTTTTTCGTAAAAAAGGTCTCTTGGTAAAAATTGCTACGAGTAATGGGTTTCGAGATATTTGGAATCGAAATTATCAATACCTGTCATCATTGACAAAAATTAAACATGTTGACTAAATAGTTATTGGACTGAAATCATAAATTTGAAATGTTTTTGTGCCAAAAGTTCAACAGAAACTGTTTTACCATCATTTTTTGCAGAAAAATTTATGATTAATTTAAAAAAAATAAAAATTTCACAAATTTATTATTTCAGTGAAATAACTATCTACATAACGTGTTTATTTATCGTCAATAATGACATGTATTGACTGTTTCCATTCTAAATATCTTAAGAAAGGTTGCTCGTAGCGATTTTTACAAAGAGATATTTTTTAAGTAAAAAGTCACAGAGATGTATATTCTTTCGCTCGGTAGTTTTATACAGGTACGGACAAAAAGTTATTACGCTTCAAAACAGTTAAAACACATGTAGGTGGCGCTCCCTACTAGTAGGAGTCATATTGACATTAAAATCAAGTTTCTCATGTCAAAAAACTCCCAGACCCCAATTTTCATCCAAATATTGACGTTATTTCAGAAATTATTTAGAAAAAATCGAAATAAAAATGACTTTCTAAACTTCTACACCCTGTATCTCCAAACAAAACTAAGCATTTTAGGACATACATTTATACGAACATTTTTACTTATTTTTATCTGCAGAATATGCTGCCGAAGTTTCCGGAATACAATTCGGACCACCCTGTATATTTCCTTCGGCCACATACCCGGGTTTACCCCTGAAGGCAACCTGAAAGTACAGTGTAACAGACTCTTAAAGTTGTCGATTTAACGACCAGTAACCTATAAAGGGTTAAGAAGATAGAAGATATAGAGCATCTCTTATTCGTGTTAAGATGATGATGATATAATATTGAAAATGTAATAGAAGGGTAATAGTAATATGGTTAGAGTAAATAAATAATACAGTTTATGACAACAATAACGACAATGTTAACGACATAAGCCGATGTAGTTAACAAAATTTCACCTAAAACAGAGGAACAACAACAAAAAAACAAGTAAACGTAACACATGTTCTTTCGATTTCGAAAATAATTGCCGAGCGATGAGAGTTGGGAGATGGAAAAAACTGCGACCCATATGGTAGGTAACAATTACAACACATGGTCCGAGACGGACGGCCTGAAAGAATAAGGAATTTCATAAATGACTGGTCCCAAGGATAGGTACCGGGGATATTATGGTAATAATCGTAAGGTTTTTAGTTTCGGTAGGTTCTTTTCTTTTTTTGGGTCGAGGGATACTTTTCTCGTTGACCATCTGATG